AAATATATAGATATCCTAAGTAGGTAGTATCTTAAGAAAGCCATGATAGGACATACTTTGATATTTTTATCCTCTTTGGAGTAGAAGTCTTTTGTCAAAGTTATGAATTGATTGGATAATTACTGTGGTTATTGATGATATTGCAGTCTTAATAGGATCTTAGAGATATATGTCATGGTCTAAAGACTAATTCTATATTATTATGTTATGATCTGAGATTTCCCCTACAGTCTGCTGAAGTAATTAATTTTGAGCTGATTGTTTTAATTATGGTATTATATACCACCCGATGCAGTTTTGACCATAATACGTTAGCACTTTTAACTTGATGAAACAAGAGGAAAATATGAGTTTTTAACTTAAAACAAACTTGAAGTGGTACAAATACGTTTTAAGAAACCGCACAAAGAAGGGTATTTTTTAGTTTCATAGTATCAATATTTTGTAACCAAAATATGTCCAAGATTTACATTAAAGCGTTTCAAAGAACACCGCCGTCATATAAATCAACGGGAAATTATCATAACGAGTCAGTTTCGTAACGAAATTCTGGCTTTCTAAGAAATTAATAATGTCTGCTATAAACTGTGATTTACAACTTTACGGCTTGTATATGTCCTCTTTAAATTAGGCGTGGCTTAAACAGATATGTGGTTTCGATTTATGAATATTGGTATAGTTTCGTACAATGTTACCCGAGTATAATAACACGGTAAAGAACTACTCGTCTTTAGAGCCTTACAAGTACTTATTCCATTAAATTAAAATGTAAATTTCTAAAAATAATAAGGAACATTTTTAGGGATTTGTTTTGTGGTATATGGTTTAGATTTGGTATTATTATATTTTTGAAATATCACAAGACTGGGCTTCTGTCAAATTCCGAACCTATTGTTTGGGGAAAACATCTGAATCAATAACCATTCAGATTAACATTATCTGTTTAGGTTTCCCGTGCTTTTAACAAATGAGGTTACTGACTGAAAGAGGAGTTCTTTATCATCGCCATAATGTATATTTTTTTAAATCCATCTTTATTCTGCTATTACAGGGTAACCTGATATATCGAAATTATTGCAAGTAAATGTGCAAGAAACACAAATACGGCTAAAATTATGAGTTTTACCAGAAGATATATTATTTTTCGCAGCAGCCTTGAAACTTAATTGAGTTATATATCCGTAACTTAAGCGATTTAAAGTTTGTTTACCTTATTGTTCCTTATAATTTTAAAACTGCCAGTTAAAACATCATCAGATAAAAAGTAAATTTCTTAATATAAGAACGTAATGCTGCATGTCTTATAACATAAGGGAAGGCACAAATAGAACAGTAAAGTTCTTGAAAGATAGGTTTGTGGAATATTGTGTTTATATTATAGACAAATAATAAAATACATGCATACAAACAAAATGTTTCGTTCTATAGTTATCTTTTAAGTTCCTATATACCGAATACCATGAGTAATGCCGTATGCTTGTTTCACATTACATCAACAGCCTTTAATAGTCCACTGCTTGACATAAGCCTCTTCTTAGAAAGGAGTTTTTGGCCTACTATACCACGCTGGCCTATGCTTGTTAACTACACTAATACTAAAAAATCTAATATAAGTGAAAAGAAGGAAACCTTGAAACAAACCCTATACCAACCCGTCTGGCCAGCGTGGTATAGTAGGCCAAACCCTCCTTTCTAAGGAGAGGCCTATGTTCAGCAGTGGACTGGTAATGGCTGTTGATGAAATCAAATTGATTCTAGATGCATGTAATAGTATGCAACCTTTATAACAAGAAATGTTTATTACTTTATAATTCTTTAACCGGGTTTTAAAAATATGTAGGTACCTGAGTGCTACCACAAAAACTTAACTTCATTATTAAGTTATCTACTTATATAAGAGACGTGTTTTTGTTAAAAAATATTCTAGTTCTACTTAATAAGACTTTAATTGTTTCAATGTGCAGATGTCAACAGTACTTAGGTGTCTACTCGTTAGGGTACCAAAGAATCTTTAATTAAAACCATTGCCATTATATTCCACCGACTCATCGAGTACACTTATAATCTCGTTCACAAAACACACTTCAGAATAAACCGTTTTCACAATTCATTTTAGTTTTAATCTTTAATGTCAAGTCAAATTATTATATTATATTGAGTATGCTATATATTATGTCAGCAATTAAGAACCTTCAATAATATGTCTATAATATAATCTTTAAAAAAAGTATTTCACAATTTTAATGATAAAATAAGTTGCATTCATGTGCCAATTAGAAAACTATTCGAAGAAGCAAGTTAACTTTCTTAGACGTGATATGATTTCGAAAAATGTCTTTATTAGCACATTGGTTTTGCAAGCAAGAACATAACGCATTTCTGGAATGGCGGGAATATGTGCTTCAGTTGGCATTTCTTTCTTATTTGTTAAATTCGATTTCTATGTCTGTTCTATCCTCTTCAAAGTATTTTTACCTATAGATATAATGGGTTAGAAGGATTATAAATTTATATGTATTTATGTGTATATTATAGTGCTATAACTGGTGTTAAATATGTGTTGAAGATGTATTGTATTCTTTGCTGGGTACTTAAAAATATCTCATTGTTAACTTTTGCTGTAAGTAAATACTTGGTACACTTATAAAATTATAATACCTCGTTATACGTACTAAGATAACAAAAAGCTAGCAGCGCATAATGACTAAGGTAAGAAGTGGTATCGTCAATATTTCTCAGATACCCATGATTGGATCGCAGCTCTGTATGGGTAGGTAAACCAATATTTATGTAGACATGCAAGTTGGTAACTTTTTACAACACGATCCTGTCGCATCAGATTTACAACTTTTTATTGCTGCCACATTGAGAGTTACATACTGAGCATAAGAAACATTTCTCAAAATCAATATAAAATGTTGTTTGTCGTCCGGTACAGGGCTAGTTTTTCTGTGTCCTCGTCTCAAAATGTGTATTTTGTTACAACCACGTGAAGTTTTACAGCTGCGTCGTGTTATTTTTTGTGGAAGGTCTATAACTCATATCTTATGTAGTAAAAATGTCACTTATACGGCAAAATTAATGGCTATGATATTCTCAGAACTAATTGTCCCGATTACTAGCTTGCATATTTTTGTAGACGTGTTGAATGTGATAATTTACCTACTAGATCCGACTGCTTGAAAGCGTCCAGCTATAATCATTACGTGTACCTTTGTATAAGTGTTGCATTTGCAAAATGAATTAACTAATGATTACTACAAATTTCACCTGTCAAAGAGACCACTATTTGTGTTTCAAGGATACATTATTTTATTTTGTGTCTCAATTTGTAAAAATGTTAAGTGAGTGTGAGAAATAAAATTTCATATCTTTAAACTTATATGAAAATGCTTAAGGAGCACAAGTCTTTTTAGATTTATGTAGAGGAATAAAAGTAAGTTCGAAGTATAGTCATGGATTGCAACAACTAAGTTTAATGAGGGTATGTTTTGAATTAAGGTATGTTTCGAACCACGCTATGCGGGAGCAATGTCTCAACGCTTCATAGCGGCACCGCGTTCGGCTGCTCGTGATTTATTGGGTCTCGTTTATTTTATTTCCCAATTCGTTTTAGTTTACAACCTCTAAGTTCCTTTAAATAGTTTTACAAGGAATTGTGGCTGTTTCCTATATTATATATTTTTTTAAGAAATGGTAAGTAACACAAACTTGTATTTTTTTGTGGATATCCTTAAATAACCTAACCAATCTTTACATCACAGTTTTATCTCTGATTAGCTTATTAATAAAGTAAGCTTACTCCACAAGTCTTAGACAGTTTCAGGTATTAAAAAACCAACAAACCGTAAATGTAAAAAGTATGACAGAAGTTTAACCTAGGGGATCGAACCCAACTTCTGCGATTAAAGGCTGTATTTGAGCAGATATGGGTCGACAGTCAGGCAGGCTCTGTCATACTGTAGGCGCGGTGGGTCAGCGATGCGGCATGAGTGGTTGTAACGCACAAAATAGAGCGCTAGCCTAGTGCCGATCACGAAAAGGATGGCATCTATATATTCTACTACATACATTGCAATCTATATAATCTCGCGTTGCATCGTAGCCCTGCCCTGCTCGCTATCTGAACCAGTCTATACAAATCTTACAATTCCTACAATAGTATTTTAAACAATTGTCCTAAAGCGATTTAGTAACGGCAGCATCTATTACATACAGTCATAGAAACTCCGAGTTCCATTTCTATCAAACCGTTTCTAAGCGTGACTTATTACTGAGAAAACAATAAGAAGTATTGCCGTCTAGCACTTGCCAAGAGAAATTTGAACTCTTAACTCTATTCATTTTTAAATAGCTTTATGTAAGCTCCCCGGCTCCGACTACAAACAATGATAATAATTTCTGATTTTGTATTACAATACAGGACTACACGCTTTGTGTAAGACTGAGCTCGTTTCCTCACTCGCGTTGACAAACCTTAGACCCGATTTGTGTACATTTCTACCTGAAACATTTTTTATTAAAGAACTCTATTGTATTCGTAGTCAATGCCCAATGCCAAAGATTATAACACGACAAGTGACAAATGTTTATTTATTGCTGGCTTTGTAAGATAGACAGGTAAGTATTTGTATAGTTTGATGTTCAAGACGGTATAAGTACAGAGCAGTATTGCAGTTTTTTATGGTACCTATGGCAAACAAGCAGACAGGTCACCTGATGGTAAGCGACTAAAGCCGTCCGTGGACACTCCAAGAGACAGGTGCGTTACCGCCCTTATATTACTTCCCTTCCCTGCAGAATTAGATGGAAGGTTAAGCTTTATTAAATCGGTAAAAAACAACGAATGACCACCTTAACACCGGTTTTTTGCGAGGCCATGGTATCAACCCGATCGAGCATTGACTCTCTAATGATAAATTAGAAAGATTATCTTGTTTGATTACCAATTATTGGAATATATGGTTGATAATCAGTATGATTACATATTAAAAAATAACTTACCACACTGATGCAGCTAGTCCGAAGTAATACAGCAACAGGAAGACAACAGCACAATTTGGGTTGGCTAATCCATCGTGAGCCAACAGCATGCGTGTAGGTGAAGTGGAATCCTTGGCACAACCAGCCGCAGCTCGACCGGCGGCAGCACGAACACCCCAACCTGCAGCGGCAGCACACCGACATAAGGCTACAAGCACCAGAGCTCTTTCTCCAGCTCCTCCTCTATCACCACATGCCAACTGTGCTCCTACAGCTGCCAAAGTGCACGCAAAACTAAGAGCCGCCCATGTCGTCAACCACACTTCTGCAGCTTTTCTTTGTCCAGCCTCCCATAACACTTCTGCATCACAGAACTGAGCACAGCGGGCTGATCCTCTCACCCACACCCAACTACCTGGCTTGACCAGTCTCTGGCAAGCACCTCTTCCACCCGTATTCGCCACATTTAGGGGCACAGTGCCCACTGGAGGTGCTCGTTCTCCAGGTCCCTCCATACACATATGTTCGTGGTTATTCTCGGCTGGAAATAAAGAGCAGTCCAGTTCTGGTGGCCAGAGGAAACCGAATTTGTATAGAACAGGGTAACATTTGGCGTATACACTCTCGCATAACCCTCTGCATGGCCCGATGGGCAGCGCTACTTTGTCGGTACACATGGGCACGTAAACTGAACACAGGAATAAATGCAGCTGAGAGGAGCAGCCATACTGAACGAGGGGGCTGAATGTCTGTAGAGTCACGTCGGCGTCCGTCTGCAGAGTATGTCGCGCCAAGTTGGGCATTCCAGTCTGGTTGTATCCAATGTTCTTACACATCGCCACTTTAATAGGTTCACATGTCCGCACGGAGGCCTCAGCGGCAACTCCAGCCACTAGGCTCACAATTAAAACAAAAACGTGTAAGCACTTCATGTTCGGTCAATATATCCGACGAGTCACATGAAAAATCTCATTGCAGTCGTGAATATTTACGCGGGAGCGCCGTAGTTGTACCAAATGCGTACACACGTGCGCCTCGAGTCGCGTCTCAAGACGGTTTACGTGCGGCGACGTACCGCGACCCGGGTGGGGGGAGTAACAACAACAAAAAAAGGTACGCAGGTATGCGCTGCAGTTGCGGCGGGAAAGGGAGAGAAATGTCCGAGAAGCCGGGGACCGGCTGATGTCGGTGTCCCGCCGCTGGTGCTCGTCACGCGTGCGACTGTCTACGCTGCTGTACGGCGCTCTTATCACCTTATCATTGAGGGTGGATTCGCATCGCGATGTGTTTCGATACAGTATGGATTTTTCGATAACTTCTTGATATCGTGCGAGGTAGATATGAAGCATGATTGACTTAGATACTATATTTTTAGATATTTGGATTTTACCATATTGTTAAAACAGTAGGTTAATACGTAAAAGCAATGATTTTGCGGTATTTTAGTGATGTTTTTTTTTAGTCGTCACGACAAGGTATTTATACTTTTTGCATTATTTAGAAGGTAATGTTGAAAAAAAAACAACATGGGCAATGTTGTATGTTCTTGTAATTAAATTAATTATAGCTGTCTCTGAACAAATTCTTGTCACTTCCAGTATAAGTTATTATCACCTACCGACGATCCCCATCGTGATGCCGTTATTCAAATACAATTATAATTTTGAAATAAATTTATTGTACATAATTCACTACATTGTATTTAAGCGTTACTGTATAATTTTTTATGAAACATAAGGTAAATACGTATAATGGGAGACATTATTAGTAGTACAAAATTGGACCAAAATGTAGATATCAGTGGGGTTATAGAGTGTTGGACAGACGTTTCTCGCGGGAGAAATAAAAATATTTACATTGCGATGTGACTGCGATGTATATGAATTGAGGACCATATACTTAGTTAGTTACGACTAAAATGAAAGATAAATACTTTTACAATAATCTTATTATAATACAAGTTTTACTTTAACACATATTCAGTAGCTAACACATATTGTAATTCAATAGTTTATAACATCTACCAACCTGTGCGCGCCGCACGGTACAACTAGCCGTGTAGGCGTATACCTATCAACAATCCTATGTACTCTCTCCCATCTCATCAAGTCTTGTACATCACGGCTTTCTCAAATAGCTCTTACATCTTGACTTTTTTACATTTGCTAAGCTAATGTATAATACAACATTCACAAAATTTTAACAAATACACCTCTCTCTGATGGAATTTTACACTTAAAACGATGACGAAGCAAATTATGTTAAGGAATGCTGAACAAGCGATACTAGCGCCACCCTTCAGTAATATTTTGGATATTCAACTAACGTCTAATATTATACAACAAACGTATATAATATTATGAAACATAAATGCCACGGATACGAGTTTCACATTGTGGAAAAAACGAAGAATCTTTTAGATTCTACAATTGTTTGGCCTCAATGACGATCGACTATTTTTCATTTTACAATTTATAGATTCTGTTTTATCGATAACTTTAAAACTTTTGCTTTACATAAATATATAATAAAACGGTAATGCCACGTATCGAGATTGTAACATAATACCTACATGTTTAATAATAATTAAACTGCCCAGTGACAAGGTTTCATTTACAGTATTTAATAAGCCTTGCATTACATCGGCTTTCCTTTTCACATTCTTATTCAGTCCTCTTGTAACTTACACTTATATATTTCAGTAAATTCACAGATACTTTTAGACGTGTACTAACTTTAACCGTTATACTATTTCGCAATTACACTAGAAAAGATGTACTTATTCCCTTGGAGCTTACCTTTTGAACATATCCACTCTTAACCATTGATTTAGGCAAAAGCAAGTTGGCAAATCAACTATATATAAAAATATGGAAGTTCTGAATCACTTAAACAAGCACAACCATTACATAATACACGAGGAGAAATGATTGAGGATCTGTTACGACAACGATTTAAGAGTTCTTTGTCGAGTTATCCTTTAAAACTGCATGCATATAGTTAGTACTAATATAATGTCGGTGACAGTGCAATATGTTTCGTATTTTTAATTATCCTATAAAATGTCTTTATGTATCTAATGAATTTGATGGTAACCCATGTATGTGACACTAGTGTATTATTGTCTGTTTGTTTAAAGTCGATAAAATCTTGAAGATTATATGATGTGTAATGTCACGCTACGACCGTTAGGAACGGAGAAGTGACCATAAGAGCATGTGAAACTGCCGAGTACTGCTAGTGGCACAATACACGTAAAAAAGTTAATGTTCTCTTCACATTGCTTAATTTTCACTATTAGGGATGGAATTGAATTGAATCATTGAACTATGAATGGACAGGAACAGGAAGTATATCTTTTCAAAAATCGAATTGTTTTTTTTATCTCCTATAACATTTCATAAGAGTTCGCTCACATAGAATCTTATATTTTGTGAATTATAAAATCCATTTCTTCTTTTATCATTATATAAGAAGGGAAAGAAAAGTTGGCAAATTAAAAAAACAGATGTCGTAGAGTCTTACTGTTAAAAATTGTGTTAAGAATAACAAAAACAAATCCGTAGTGGTAGTTGAATCCTTTAGATGTTAGGATAAGTTATTAGCGCCCAGTTGCATTATCAGCGACTATAATGTCATACATTGTTTTGGCAGTACAAATTTCCATTTTTCAAACATAAAATCTTTTCTTTGGTGCTTCATTTAAAAGGCAGAAATATTGCGAAGAAATTGCGCAATATACAAAAAAAATATATTAAGATGCATTTTAAATACAAGTTTTTTTTCTTAATTTACTAATTTTTCACATTTTTAAGCTAAAGCCAAATAACGCTTGCTATAAAGTTAACTAACATTAATAAGTCTTCAAGACAATTATCCTTTTGGAAATGTACTGGAGTGACTTCAGTCAATCATTTACACACACTATTTATAGCAAATATACTACATGTATACAAAAAATTATAGTCATCAAACAATATTAAATGCTACTACTGAACCCAATGATGACATTAAATATTGTGACGTTGCGTAAATAATATAGAAGTTACATTCAAAAATAGCCTCTAGAATATAAAACATTCCAAGGTGTGACATAAGTAACTAAAGTTCATTTGCTTTATGAAAAGTGACGTATCGATCCGATTATATATCGATTGGAACCTTATTGGTCAAATGGCGATTGACCAATAAGGGCGATTGGTCAATTGATCGATGCGACACTTTTTTCTTCGACTATAGAACACATTATAAGTAGTATTTTTAGAAAAATAATAGAAACAAACGGAACGGAGCTTTTAAAGCTATTCGATTATTATATCTGGATGGTTCCTGTTTAAGAGAAATAAAGAGGTGAGACAAGCCTTTAGGAATAAGAAACGTCGAAATAAAAGTGGTTAGAGTAGGCCATGTAGATATAAAAATACCAATTTGACCAAACTACTTATGCACATTAACTTACGTGGAAATATAAATAATTAGTAATATCCAGATAACAAAGAATTTGCCAGCAAAAATTTTTTGAAGAAATAATTAAAATAGTAGTGATGACAATTTCCGAAGATTTTGAAAAAATCTCACTTAGATAACTCTCGTCAATTTTTAAGTATTTCTTTTTACATTTATGAATCTAAGTGCTAAATATTTAGGAATAATAAAAAATACTTATATGGGACTTGCAACTGCATCGAATCTGGGCAGTGAGCAGGGTATTTGTACTTGCAAACGCCTCAATTGAGAGAAAAATTTAATGGACTTCACAATAGAATGCTCGGTAAACCCGTTTAAATTCCATGTCAATTTTAAATTATTAACACCTTATAAACAGACAATTCATTCGGGATGTTGCAAAAAAGTTACACAACACTACTTATATACCGGTAATGATGTCCATTTAAAGGTCGATTTTACATGTAGGCTTACATTATGAGGGCGGAGGCCTAATATAAGCGGGCGGCCAAAAAGGGGGCGACAAAACATATATTGGGATACAACAAATTTCAAGTACTGAACATGAGAAAATATTCCAGTGTCCGTATGAGAAAAATGTTGTCAGTAGTACGACGATAACAGTACTATATACTCGTATAATAAATGATTCACATCTTATGAGATTACATAAATCAAATAATATACTGCTTTCTTTTATTGTGCGCGTATACTTTAAGGACACTGTTTTCTCGACACAATATCTACAGGTACCATACCTAATTACTGTAAATTTTGAATTAGTGTAAATTTTATTTATGGCAGTTCTCGTTTACTATGAGAGTTTTACACTAAATAATTGGAAAAAATAAACATCGAATGTTTTATTTTACATATATTTTTGATTATGCTTACAAAGTAGCATATAAATATATTATCTTCTTGCTATTATCTGTTTTCTGCTTCAAAATACAGATAAGCAGATAGTTCGGATAGCATTTATAGGTGGTTTCAGTCGCACCTTGTTATGCTTCAGCTGTTATTTTTCACGTTATCGCTAGAAATTATCCTTAAAGTATACGACTTCAAAAACATTAAATATCTCTACACAAAAGGAAACTCCTGCGGTCGAGGTGAGTGCCGGCGGCTGACTAGAGATGGTGCGGGTGCGCCAGCGTCGCGTCGAGCCGCACTCGGAGCGCCTCTCGGTCGCGCGTCACGTCGGCGAGCTCGGCGCAGAGCGCGCGACAGACGCGGTGCAATACCGCGTTCTGCTCTTGCAACGCCTTCACGTCCGGCTCCGCCTCGCCCGAATCGCGCGTCGGCTTGCGATACACCTCGAAGGCGCCGTGCATTTTTGGAGCATCTTCACGATTGTAGCCGAAACCTTCCGCGTCGTAGTCCTTCGGGACGAAGGCGTCGGGCGGGAAGGCGGGCTCGCCCTCGCTGCGCTGGTTGATGAGGCGGCGCGGCGCCTCCGCGCTGGACGGCGAGGCGCGCGGAGGGGGATGAGGGGGAGGCGCGGGCGCGCCCTTCAGCCGGTTCAGGTCCAGCGACGACGAGCGCGCGTGGTTGCGCAGTGGCCGCGGGGGAGGGGGCGGAGGCGGCTCCTACGATTGCAAAAAAATAAATCAAGATAAATTCTGTGACTTAGGCAATTAAATACTGTAGAAAACTGCAGTATACTTAATGGGTGTCCAGAACAATATTGCAATTAATACCTTTTTAGGCGCATATTGCAGCGATTGGGGTCCTTCATCGGCGTGAACTGACGACTCCCGTGCTGGTGGCGGCGGTAGCACTCCTCCCGGTTTAACCGGTTTTCGGGGCTGAGGCCGTTGTATAGACTTAATTTCTGGGTTGGCACCGTTTGGCGGTGGTTCAGGTGGTTGAGAATTTAATCTCTTAGGGCTTGCGAGTTCGAAAGCATGCGCAAAGTCATCTCTGCGAGGAGAAGTACTTGAACGCATATCGCCATCTCCATGCGCCGGTATTGTATTAGCGTCTGGAGTAACTCGCACCGCCACTGGATGGAAAATCTTCGGATCGCGTTCGACAGCTGATTTATGAAAGTCGAAATTGACCGGTTTTGGACCAGGGCTGGACACGCTGGAAGTCGGCGAGTCCACAAATTTCGTCCACTCTTTATTATTTACCTGTGGCTCAACTTTCGGCGGTGTGAGCGAGGGTGGGCGGTCCTCGGGCTTCTTCACAACTTTACTTTCGTAAGGGTCGAGTGTTTCCGTTTTGGGGGTGAAGTTGAAATCGGCCGACGTTCCAGAACTGAACATGTCGGATCCTAAATCAACGAGATCGGTGGTTACAGCTTGTTTAGAGAATCTCGAGTCAATTTTGGGTACAAGGCAGGCAGGTAAAACTTCAGGAACCGGGATTTTATTCCGCCTTAACACAATGAGGTGCATGGCTATGCTGAACTCTTCGAGAGTAAGCATCCCGTCTTTATTAATGTCGGAGAGCTGCCAAATTTTGCGAAGATCTGGTACCGGTAAGTGCGACTTTTCAAAAAATAACCTGTAAAGAGATATTTAATTTCAAATATTTCTTGAAAATTTTGTAAACATTCCAAAACGATAGCAAAATAGGTCATCAATGTTTCGATATTTTATAAACCCGTTAAATAGATACAATTCAGAAATGTCATATCATTTATACAATTAACAGCGAATATTTATAATATAAAATATAATAATTAGGATTTTTTTCACGTCCAAAGTTATTTTAGCAGAAATCGTTAATTACTGACCTAGCAGTTTGTCCGGAGAGCATGCCTCTATCAGGCCGGAGTTGCGCGAATTGCCCCGCATAGTGTCGAGCCTGCACATCACTGATAGCCCAGATGTCGTCACTTGGGTCGCCTTCACCATCCTCTTCTGACGAGTGACGGTCAGACGACTCTTCTTCAGTACCTTAAATGACAAATATCATTAATGAAATTAGCAAACAAAGTGGTCTTCTTCACGATTTTGGGTAAAGCAAAGACAAAATATTTCGAAGATATCTGATGTTGAAAGGAAAACGCTATTATTTATATACACTTGTGTATTTGTATATTTGTTTGTAAAATATGTATTTATTTAAAGGCTTATAGCTGTTGGTAATGTATTATTTACTATGCGACATTTTCATCTAACAACTGCCTTGCCATCAACTTGTGAGGACGTGTAAATAATATATCTATCTTATATATATATATATATATATATATACACTCGGTTCCAAAAATTACGGGTCAGTCACAAAAATTGAAATACCTCCAGAACAAAAGTTAGATCAATGAAATAAAAAACAGAATAAAGACTTTTTAGTTGCGCTTCTAATAGCATATTATTTAAACTGGTTGATGAAAAAAACTTCATTAGAAAAACAAAAATAAAAAAAATGACTATTTTTAAAAACAAAATTTTTGTTTCATTTCATTATAGATGCTTTCCATTTCTATTCTGTCACAAAAAAAAAATATCCTGAACGTCTTCCACGTGCATAATTATTATTCTGTGAGGTGAAGCATGGCAGTCACGCTAGAGGAATGTACCAGAATCCTAACTTTTTTTGGAACTTGGGCGGAGCCAGCGTGAAACAGCCAGAAACATTGGTGTATCTTTTTCGACTGTTTAGCGGGTAGTCCAGCGGTACCAAGAGACCGGATCGCACCTTAGAAGACCAGGAAATGGCAGACCAAGATGCACAACGGCCAGGGAAGAAAGACAACTGGTGGCTACAATGCTCCGAAATCGTTTTCAAACTGCTGTTGGTCTAAAAACTCACTTTATTCGCTTTGGAGGTGGCAATTTAAGCGCTCAAACAGTAAGAAGACGTCTTGCTGAAGCAAATTTGAAACCATTGAGGCCCGCAAATGGCCTCAAACTGGAACGGGGACATCGAATTGCAAGACAGAGATACGTGCGCGAGCACCTAAACTGGACACTAGACGATTGGTCTAGGGCATTACCCTAGACCAATCGTCTAGTGTCCAGTTTCACGGACGAGTCTAAATTCATGCTTTATAAGCATGATGGTAGGCAGTTGGTGTACAGAAGACCAGGGGAGCGCTTCCATCAAGCGTGTGTGGAGGAAAAAGTGGTGTACGGTGGAGGCTCCGCACAAGTTTGGGCTGGGATTTCTACTGAGGCCCGCACCGAGCTAGTACTCATTCAAAATGGAACTCTAAATGCAGAGAGGTACATGGAAGAGATTTGATTGAGATTGAGGAATGAACATGTAGGTCCTTTCATGGCCAGGATGGACCGGCATGGCATATTAATGCATGATAATGCGCGTCCCCATACCGCCAGAATTGTACATGACTACCTTGAAGAGGTCGGTATCGAACTCATGCCAGCGCGAAGCCCGGACTGAAACCCCATCGAGCACGCCTGGGACGAGCTTCAGAGATGCGTGAAAGGTCGAAACCCCCCACCAATCACGCTTCCCGAGCTCAAACAAGCACTGGTGGAGGAATGGGAAGGTATTCCTCAGCACCGGCTCCGAAATTTGGTGTACAGCATGCCTAATCGCCTGGAAGCTGTCAGAAGAGCTCGTGGAGGCAATAAAAAGTATTAAATGAAGAAAGTGATGAAAAACAGCAAAAAAAAACAATCATAAAAAATGTAATCTTAAGAAAAATATGACTACTTTAGTTTTTTTTTAATTTAGAGATAAGAGTTAGAGAGTTTAGATTTAAGTTTTATTTTATTTTTTATCTGTATAATTAAATTCTCAATTGAACATTCTTCGTTTCATTAGGATGGCATACGTAGTTCGGGAGATATTCGGGTTTATGTGACTGACCCGTTATTTTTGGAACCGAGTTTATATAAATATTAAGTTGACACGATATACAACCCATTTTTAGAGTCAATTTTTCCTTTCTTATCAATGCTACCACAATGCGCCACAGCGTGGTAGGGTACAGCTAGTTACGTATATAATACTTAGTTTTTGTTTGAATTGTCTTTAATTAAATAAAGTAAATATTTAGAAATGAAAAATAAAGCTTAACAGTGATAATAAATACCTATACCAATTTATTGATTAGCCCATCTCTTACCAACTAAACAAGGAGTATTGAACGTAATATGGATCCGCAGTCAATCATGTAATGAAAAGCCTCTGAAGGACTAAAATGAAGAAGACATGCTACCGAAAATTTAGCAAGTATATTCCACTGTAATAATACTGATAGTAAAGTAATTAAAGTCAATTGAGTGTAGTAACCACGCATGTTTGACGTTGACGTAAATGTTTTTCATGCCACCTAAAATATAGTGTTGTCTCAAATTGAAATCTTGTTTTTTTTGGTCTATTAGCTTTATTCAATTCATTTTTAACAATGTATGCCCTTCGTAGATGACTATCCACACTTATATTATAAATCTGAAAGTGAGTTTGTTTACATTATCAGCGAGTAACATAGGCTTCTTTTACCGCGATAACCGTCATACACGCGAGCGGAGCAATGGGCAAAAGCTAGTATTAATTAAACTAATCAGAAAAAAAAACTGATTATTATTATACTTTTTTTTTCTAACATTATAAACGTTTATAAGGTATCTGAGGACTCGCACCATGTGGCCCTTAACATCACAGAAGATATGGGGAACACCAGCCTTTATCGTGTTCACCGCGGATAACGTTTCTGTACCACTTAGCACATTTTGGTTCCATTTCTAGAGAGCTTAACAGCTTTTATTGGCATAAAGAACTTCATTAACGTTCTATCGAAGAGAGTACTTCTCTACTCTACTTTAGACAAATTGAGATCATCATTATGTTCTATCTAAAACAATAAAGCTGACATCTGAATATCCAACTTGGTACAAGTCACCACTTATAAAAACGATAAAAGAAAAACTCATAGTCAATATAAAAAGGATATGGTAACATATCCAGTTATAACTCATTCCTTATTTTAAGACGGGGCTAAGAAATTGGAGTCTGAAATGTTTGATAGCTACAGAAAAGGCATTGAGGAAAGCATAAAGGAATCACCTAAGCTGTTTTGGTCTTATGACAAAGGTAAGCAACAGTCTTCTAACAGTTATCCCCCAACTTTGAAATACGGGCAAAACTCGTCAGGTCAAGGCGATACGATTTGCACCATGTGTAATGACAGTTTTTATTTTAACTTTGTTCAAACCAGAGGTACTTCTAATAATAATAATTCTGACGATTGTACGTTAGTTTAGTACCAGACAACTGCCGCGGATGTGTCTAGTGGAGTTTATCGTGGGAGAGCCATGCTTCGGTACGAATGGGCCGGCTCGACCGGAGTGATACCACGGCCTCACAGAAAACTGGTGTTAAGTGAGTGAGATTACCGGAGCCCAAATCCCCCTCCTGCTGACTCGAGCGGGCGGGACTCCAAGGGCAGCAACGCACTTGTGACTTTTCAAGTTGCGGGTGTCCATGGGTGGCGGTATTTGCTTACCATCAGGTGACCCGTCTGTTCGTTTGCCCCGGTTACCAAAAAAAAAATGGTACGACAGTCAGACGTCTTTAAACTACTTAAATCAGTTAATCTAAAGAAATCAGCGGGTCCAGACGGTATTCCAGCTATTCTCGTAAAACACTGTGCACGTAACTTGTCCATACCATCATCATCATATACGCCTAAAATATTGTGTACTCGTACGTTTATTACGCAATAAAAAGTTCATTAAATTTGTAATCAACATGGCTTTGTAGAAAATAGATCTATGGTTTCAAATTTACCTGTCTGTTCTGACTATTTGACAGATTACAAAAAAGTCTCTGATGATAAATTGCAGATTATTGGCTCCAGGACAGTCTTTTTTGCCTCAGGAATACCTGAAGGATCACTTTTCGGCCCGCTGCTATTGACTCCAGGACAGTCTTTTTTGCCTCAGGAATACCTGAAGGATCACTTTTCGGCCCGCTGCTATTGACTTTATTTATCAATGATATCCATACATGCTTCGCTCACTCAAAAATAATACTTTACGCTGATGACATGAAAATCCTATGTCCAATATCAAATCTTAGTGACTGTCTTAGTCTCCAAAGCGATCTAAATGAGCTGCAGAAATATTGCCATAACAATAAGCTTGAGCTGTTTTTTTTTGTTGACGGAATGGAAAATCCCTGCGGATCTCCGGCTCCTTGGGGATATAGGAGCCAGGATTATGTGGTGATTCCACTAAAAACCACTCCGACGGCCAACCTTAGGTGCCCTGCTCTGGGGAGAACCCGGGCCATGTGATTTCAGGTCCCCCCAGATCGACGCCGCATCTAACTAGGCCCCATCTCAGGGAAAGCCAGTGGCTTCTCCCTGCCTCTCAGCCTATCTAGATGTTGCGGCCCGATCACATTTTTAGTGCGATCAGGCTGCCATCCTAGCCCTACCGCAGCAATCAATCTGCCACTAGAGGTCCCCACTCTGGTCCCGTGGGCTGCTCTTTCCGCCGCCGACGTTTTCTTCGCTCGGGATCGGCCCTTCCCCGATCAGGTATAGGATATCAAAAGGCGGGAAACGTGCCAGGACTGTCGCCGCCTCCGACGATATGGTGCGGTATCCCCGTACGATCCGAATGGCCGCTACCCGCTGCGCTTGATTGAGCTTAGCTTGGCAGCGATTATAGCAGCAGGAGGCCGATAAGCGCTTTGCCCATATCGGCGCTCCGTAGAGCGTATCACCATATCACCGCACAGTAGAGGCGGCGAACTTTCTCCCGCGGACCCCCCAGATTAGGCAATAGCCTCTGTAGGGAGCCCGCCACCCCGTGAAGTCGGGGGATCATCCGCTCGAAATGCTCCTCGAAGCTCCAACGACTGTCCAGGGTGAGGCCTAGGTATTTGATGTGCCGACCGACCTCGACCTCTGTTCCCCCCACTCTAATAATCGAGCGGGTGGGAACTGCACCTCTGCGTTTCCTATGGAACCACAGGGCTTCCGTCTTATGAGGTGCAACCCTTAGACCTAGACCGCTGATCTTTTGGACGACACAAGCCACCCCTGAATCGGCGAGCTCTAGGACCTCCCGGAAGCCATGCCCCCCAGCCAGTACCAGAGTGTCGTCCGCATAGCAGACGACACTCAATCCTGGGAGAGGCTGGTCCTCAGAACGGCATCGAGGTTCCACAGAAGTGGTCCTAAGACTGAGCCCTGGGGAAACCCGGATGTCACCTCCCTTCAGCAATCTTCGCCGTCCCGACCCATTTACGATATGGACCTGTCGCGGAGATAAACCCCGATGATGTCTCGCAGGTACGGGGCCAACTAGTGATACACCAGTGCCTCCCTAATCGCCCACCACGGAAGGGAGTTAAAGGCGTTGACTACGTCAAGACTGACGGCCAACGTCCCTCCCCCCGATAGACAACCTCTTCCGTCAAGGAGCGGACGCGTTCGATCGCGTCCAGCGTCGATCGTCCCTGTCGGAAGCCAAATTGGTTGTCTAATAAGTCAGGGCCCACTCGCGACAGGCGCTGGTTGATACGGGCGGCAATAACTCTTTCCAAGAGTTTCGCCGCCTCGTCCAGTAGGCATATCGGTCGGAAAGCCGAGGGAGAATCTGCAGCCCTGCAAGGTTTCTGGATAAGTACCAGCCTGGCTTCCTTCCAGCCGGCAGGGAATATGCTATTACGGAGGCAGCTGGTAAACAGCCGCCTCAGCATATTCCCTGTGAGCTTGAGCTTAATATAGCTAAATGTCACCTGGACGTCACATTTATTTTTTGCACGTGCCAATTTATTTTTTGATTCTCACGTCGAAAACATCATAAGTAGAGCCTCAAAAGTCCTCGTTTTTGTTCTAAGGCTTTCTGCGAATTTTAAAAAATGTTACCACTTAGAATTTGTGTCTCAGATCTGGAACCCGATCTATAACATATACATAGATAGAATCGAGCGCATACAGACGCAGTAGTTGCGTTTTTTACAACATAAAACCCGTTATTACACGTCTAGTTACACTGCCCGATGTAAAAGTATTACATTCTACCCCTGTACGAGCGTAGACATATTGCAGATATTGCATACTTATCCCAGAGTTGCCTAGGTACTCCTGATTAGTAACACATCCAACAATTCTGCGCAATCCTAGTCTTTTGTATCTTCATTGCGTCAATAGTACATATAGACCAAAATTAATTTTTAATACGCACGAGTAGACAATATAATGAAATTTCATCTCAATATGAAATAGACCTATATGGTACCAGTGTTTCTAAAGTTAAAAACATTTCAGATGCGAAATTTTTTGATTGACCACGGGTGCTGGGTTTGGTTTTGTCTACTGACTTCCAATTTAATGCTACACGTGTATTTCTAATCGCGGATATTTGGAAATGGACGACAGATGTTCATGTATTATGTCATGTTTTTTAAATGCTAGCTGGAAATATCCCAGAGAAAAAATAAAATTCTGATTAGTTTAAAGACCATGTTATGAATCTATACTAATATTATAAAGCTGAAGAGTTTGTTTGTTTGTTTGAACGCGCTAATCTCAGGAACTGCTGGTCCGATTTGAAAAATTCTTTCAGTGTTAGATAGCCCATTTATCGAGGAAGGCTATAGGCTATATATCATCACGCTAAGACCAATAGGAGCGGAGCACCAATGAAGAATGTTTCAAAAACGGAGAAACTTTATTACTATTGAGAGACGCAGACGAAGTTGCGCGGGTCAGCTAGTATTAAATAATAGTCGAGTAGCAAGTGTTTTATACAACAAATTGAGCGCAACGATATGATATACGATTAGAACGAATGACAATATATGGTGTCATGTCATAGTAATCGATAATAATATTCATTTACTAGTTTAAATAGGATTCATGTGGCTTATTATGTTTGCGTCTTATAGGTATTAGCTTCAACAGATAAGATAAACTTTTACATTAAGCAAATTTCATAAAACTTTTTATTTAAAAAAAATAAAACCTCAGACATTTCACGCATGGCCACCATATGATTCCAAATTAGAAAGAACCTGTGCCATATTGCTGATTAAAACTTATATATTTTTAAATAAATACATATTATAGATAAATGACATCCATCCACACAACAAAAGATCGTGCTCATCACACAATATTTGTCCTGGGTGGGAATCGAACCCACGACCTATGACTTAGCAGTCAATCCCGTCACATGTAAATAAAATGAGCTTCAATCGATTGGAATTAATTGTTAAGACAGCGATTGAAAAGTTTGACACACCAATTTTTTATCAGGGTGACCCTGGTCAACTTACCAAGCAGTCTCGTATGTTCCTCTCCGGTGTTTGCGGGCCAAACACCACGGCCAGTTGCGCTATGCTCCCAAACGGGATGCACACGCTCCGCGACGCTGTTTGTGGGTGTAGGGCTCTCACTAGCTGTGCTCCATGGAGAGCCAGTTTTACCTCTTCGCTGAAGATTTAAACGTACCAATTACATAATTTACTAAATAGCATTTAATAAAACCTATAGAACTAAACACCATAGTTTTTGGGAAGTATAATTGCATCTTCAGGGATAACTAGAATATTTCATATGATACTTTTATAATCGAAGCATTTTATTAAAAACTAGCTGTACGAAAACTAGACATGAAAAAGAGATAAAAACCAACTTTGAAGTGTTTTGTAATCATGTGAGCTCAATTGATGCAGATTTTTTTTGAGATTTTGAAGCTTATGTACATAAAGAAACTAAAGATTTTTATATACATTTATAGTTTGCTTCACTGTGGCACATTGAAATGAGTAACAAAACTGATGCTAAAAATAGATAAAAACAATCTTTAAACGAGTTTATATATTGTGTCAAAATTTGAGGTCAATTAGAGGACTTTTGGACTTTTTGAATTACCAACCTTAACATTATATATATATATATATATATATATATATATATATATATATATATATATATATATATATATACATATATAATAAACCTAAAAAAATCCTCAGTCTGCATCAAAAATATTTTCTGCCAATGACCTAATCAAAAATTAATGGTCTAATCATGTAATAGGCTCAGTCTCATCAAACAATGGCCTACACTATAGATATACACTGATATGCCTATAAATATGTTCTATATTAAGAGCACACCTGCAAGGTCAAGAACTACCACAGTTCATATGACATGTAGAAAATATAATAATAAGATAAATAGATTACCTATCTATGCAAAAATTACTGCTAAACTAAAGACATAACCTCGGAATATAGTTATTCTACTGTGGTACTGATTTTATTGCATCATTTAGTTTATAGGTACTAGAAAGTGCAAAGAAAAAATTATTCATTATCAGCTGATAAATAAGTTTGACAAAGCGATTGTATTTTAGCTGAACTTACTGAACTTTGTATTCTAAAGTTGAAGCTAAGGACTTTGACATTAGAACAGGTACTCAGTGAATAATTACCTTTACATCCAGTCTGGGCTTTTAATGTGAATGTTTAAATTCATGTAAATATTTGTTTTCAATATCTGTTAAGCATATAGACATTTACAAAATTTATACCTAAATGTGTATAGGTACTACAGTCTACTTAATTTCAATTAGGTGTGTTTTCAGTTAACTCAATAAAATTGTTTAATGTATAGTGCCTCGTAGCTTTAAATTGATAGCCAAATAAAACAATTTAATTTTAAAATTTAGTTTTGTGATTTTGTTTTCGACAAGACACACACACACACATTGATTGATTTTTTCACAAATTTTAGATATTCATCACCAATCTTCGCAGTGTTAAAAAGTGAAATCTGGTCATGTAATAGATAGGCCTATGAAAATGTGGGAAAAATTGATATTTCATTTATATACAAACACTCACATCCTGACAGGGAAGACAATGGGTTAAAACTTTTAGTAGGCAAAAGGTATACTCTACAATTCTACATTTTGCGGACTAAAATATTAGTCCCGCATGGTGCACATATATTTTTAAAGAAACATACTACTTATATTTCTAAATTTTAATATATATCATACTAGCAATCCACTCACAATGTTAATGTGGAGTGATAAATTATACTATTATTATGATAGGACTATACTAAAGGACATCATACATATATGCAATATTTATGGGCCCGCCCGTAAGAAGCCATTTTAATCTATATTAAATGCACAACATATCTAATGTATTTAATTGAATAAGGAATAATAATGTATTGTTTCAAATAGCTATGTAAATCACCCATTATTTTTTTGTAATATTTACAAGATGAAAATGTTTACTGTGGGTTATCCTTAGGAGATAGACTTATACCATCGACTTTTTTGTAGATATTTTTAAGATATACAAATCCTTTGATTAGACTGTGTTAAATTATCTAAATAGATTATGCACATATTAATGGAGACCGATATTGACTTTTTATTTAAATTTTATATAAATTAATTAGAACTCATTTTACAGAAGCACCAATTATTTTACATATATATTTAAGCCCCTTATGATCCTTTGAGAGAGCTATAACCAAGAATCAATGGCATTGCAAATAGGTCTAGGCTATGGTATTTATAGAAATCATAGGTTCATATTCAAATAGAATTAAAAATCTTTATCCTATGTTTAAATCGAACCGAGGTGTGGCGAGGCGACCGCTTAAACCACTACACCATCCATGCAGTCTCTTCCATCCTCAACAACATACATAAGAATCTATTGCTACAGTGGTGTATTTCCACTGCTTCAATGATCATAGAGGATCAGTGATACACAAGTACCATTTTTGCTATTACAATTAAATCTAGGCTATGGTTATCATGGACCAAAAAAAATTTACATCAAACAAAAAAAAACTTGATTAATATATGAATTCATTTCAATTTTAAACAAATGAAATAAAGACACTTACCCCATGAGAACCAGATCGTTGTGACATTGTCTCAGATTCAATTTCCGAGTCTGTGCTTATTCCTTCAGTCGTGTCATGAGATAATGCTTGTGGAACATCACTATCAGATAAGTTAGATGACAGTCTTATTGGCTCATAAGCACCAAGGGTGCCAAAAGTCCTTTCTCTTTTAGGAAGATGCTGTTCACTTGGCGAGCTAGACAGTTGTATCAGGTCAGCGTTCGCTTCAGAATTTAGAGCCCACGTAAACCTCGGCAAAGGCAAATCCACAGGTGTGCCGAGGAGTTCGGGTTTTAAGGCCATATTTGATTGATGTGCTGCTATTAACTTGAGTGCAGAATAAAACTGTTTCCTATTCATGTGACTCAATGACGCACAATTATTAGGAGCAACACTTATATCCATGATCTGTAACATAATTAGTGCTCATAATCATTCATTCACAAAATGTGTTTTCAAACGTTTAACCTATACGAAGGCATACCTGTTTAAGGACATCATTATGAACATTAGACGATCTAAATAATTCTGTGGCTTTTAAAATCGGTATTTTTCCGTTAGATTCCTCATCACAACACAAAAACAAATCACCGAAATATCTCATTTCGGTTTCTGTCAAATTGAGATCCTCCATTATAGTAATAAAATGACGATGTTACAGCCTTCTACACAGTGTCTTTAGCTTGTTATTACATAGGCAACATAAACAACCATTATCTATTAATGTACACCATATTCATTGGTAAATAGACGGATTCGAAACTTGTACATCACAAAATTTACACGAAGCAAATCAAATGTCACTGACAGACAGCTTTTCAGACAGCTGCCCGATGCGGCCATTAAAATCATTAGAGTCGCACCGCTGTCTGAAACCGATATTAGAGAAAAAAATAATACGGTTCTTTATTATAAAACTGAACTTCTTGTTCTTTATTTCTTAGTAAAAAATAATAAATTTATAAAATGTGAATGTATCGCAATTGTCATTAATACATATATATAATTGTAAAAATGAATGATCGAATATTGATTATTTTAAATTTTAAATAAATAATAAATTTAGCTTTTATCACTGATTTTAAACTAGATAGACTTCTTCACTCACACTTTAAGATACTCAGACCATTCAGTCAAATAATTATTCAGGCACCGATATCAGTCAAAACAAATGAAATATATTTTTGTTTTTAAATATAATTGTTGCATAATGATAATTAAACGTCTTAGCATAACCTCTTAGCGGAAAATGAACAATGCAAAAGTTGTAGATAATAAAAAAATCTAAAACTTTTTCACATAACCTCAAATTAACCGTTAAAATGGCAAAAAAAAAGATTTTTCAGTATTTAATATTAATGATTTAATTTACATGAAAATTTGTAAAAGTGTTGAATTATTATCTATTTTTCGCAGCTCATAGGTTGACTAGTTTTTGAGTTATGTACATTTTTCGACAAAATTACCCTTATCTTCCACGAACAATTGCCTTGATATTTTTTTAATTAAAGTCTCTAATTGTCTACTTAAAAATGATCTCTGTGACTTGGTGGTTTAGTTGTCTCTAAACCACTTAAAATTGCGTAAAACTGAAAAAAAGACTGCATCATGATTTTTTCAATATTTTCAATGATTTTCGATTTTCTCATTATTTCTGTTAATAGTAGATTATATTTACATAATATTAGGTGCTTCTATGTAAGAATTTTATTACAGTAAGTAGCGCAAACTGTCTTGAAAAGTTTAAATCTATATATCTCAAGAATGGCTGGACCAATTTTTATGGTATTTGTGTTTTTGTCTTTGTCTTCTTCTGGAATAGGTTAATAACTATTAAATATTACTATAGTATACTACTAATATAGTACTACTATAGTAATCAATTAAAAAGTTATCATTAAAAAAGCATCAGTCAAAACATCAGTGTAGCCGTTCATTTTTTATAAAGAGATCAACACGCAACGAAAAGAGATCTTCAAGATCTGCAGCAACTACTTTATGAACATCATACATTGGTTAGGCTGTTAAAGACTGCTTTGGAGCGCATGCCAAATGACGACTACAAAGTCGTGATCAGAGCGGATAAACGACCAGCTAGAACACACTAACGCCCATTTAACGCTCAAACAATAAATGAAGTTGCAAGCCTGATTGTTGGTGAAAACTATGAAACAGGTGCTTCACTGAAGAGTGCAACCCATGCACCAAAATACATGGCCAATAAAGCAAATGTCTTGCTGGCACGTCATTAAAATACTTGATTTTTTTTTAATAAAAAATTGAACTTAATGATTTTAAATTAATTTTGAAATCCTAAATCTGCACATTCATTTACTGTTGTTGTGTCGGAACGAAGTTCGCCGGGTCTAGCTAACCTGGTAAATAACATAAATTGAAAAATAACAAAGTAATTATTGACAATTACTTATTTTCTATCATCATGATAAAATAAGGTAAATTAAATATTTCAATGTAGTAACTCTTTTTTAGCATTGACTTAGACGGTAACTTTTATAATTTTGTTTTTTAAATAAATAAAAACAAGATAATTATAACTGTAAATTGTGGTCAATGTCGATATCTTTGCGTCAAGCTAGAAGTGTATACTTCTGATTTGCTTCTAAATGATAGTATCGTGTCAGAACGTCAGTCTAAATATAGATACTTAAAAAATAAAATAATACAAATTATGAAGTACTGTAAAACGAAAGTTTTATAGCACCTGCTTTAATTTCATATAAATTTTCTTGATCAGACTTGTTACAAATTATAGAAGCGGGTACATACATCCATTTTGTTAGTCTGAAATATTTAAGTTCAGTAAGTTAGTTATTTTCTTAAAATCTTAGAAAACCCAGGACATATCTCGCTAGGAAGTCACGTTTTGTCGCAAATCGCTAAAACCCGTTTTCAATGTCTAAACTGCATCCCCATTTCAGCTCTTTGAATGTTTTCGTGTTTAAATTATTTTTTTCTGACACTTAGAACTTCAACAACAACGGGTCCTTGCCTGTTTTGTTTTTGTATTTCGTATTCGTTTTGTTACTAGTCAAAAAATTGGAAAATGAATTTGCATGCGTTTTAGATATTAAGATAATGGAAAGGTTGTGTTCCAGGTTCCATGTTAAACATCATAATAATTACCTTTTCTTAAACCAAAGCTAATTAAAATAAAACTCAATTATTTCAAATAAAAATATTATAGTGATTTATTTAAAACCTCCTTTCCAGAGACCTCTGCCCAACAATGGACTATTAAATGCTGTTGATGATGATTATCTCATAATATTGACGCCAATGGACTATTACACTTTCAGTGTGAAGATCATTTAATACCGACAGTAGTTTTCTAGTTACGTATGTCGTTAATAATCGTTAGTTCTATCTCAGCAAATACCTACCTTAAAAAAATATTTCATGTTAGGGCTATATAACATTATTTTATTTCTCTCAATAATTTATTTTGATTATATAGCTGTTGCTAAGTAATTAGTTTTGTTGCATTCAATTAGTTGGAATGAGATATAAGGTAAAGTTTATTTCGAAAAACTTAATTTCAGTAATCACTTTCGTGAGTGATCTTTTGCCTGTACATGCTACAAGATTCTTTTGCATTCGATAAACATATAGCAGCATAACAAACCACTTATCGATTTTAGATTTAGTTAAAAAAAATACAAAATATTCGACTGGACTAAACCAAATTAGAAATATTTCGATCGAACCGTAGTTTAAGCGACAGAGTTTTATACAGTTTATTATACGGAAAAATTGGGATTTTTAGTTTCCTTTCCCAACATCACTAGCTGTCGCTAATCGTAGACTACGGCGTGGTGATCACGTCAAAGTCAAACATTGTTTTGTATTAGGGATAGAATAAATCACAATCACCTGTGATAAATCATATGTTTTATAAATCATATAATCAACCCGCTAATATAATATTTTACAAAACACATGTGACTAATCATTTTATTTTTATTACGCTAACGCCGGGCTCACGAAAAGTAAAAAAAGGATCGTAATCTTTGATAAAATAATTTTGATGGCATTTATCTTTTTTTTTAGGATCAAAGCACGATCACAGGTATTTTCACAGTGACAAAACTAATCATTTCATCGAATGAATATGATTTAAAAGTAGCAATAACTTCCATATCTACTTTTTATTATGATTGAATGTTTTACGCACAGATTAGTATAATGTAGCAAGCTAGTTTTACCTTTTGCTATGCAAGTCGTTACAATTAATTAATTAATTAATTTTAATTGAGTGTATAAAAACAACTGTCATTTTTATTTCATAAGTTTATTTTGTGTTTGCCGAAATTGTCGTTAGTCGGCTTAGCATAGCATAGCATGGCATAGTTTTCAAGAGGTTTATATAATAATTGTATTAATGATAGTCGCAAGGACCAGGAACCCAAAACAATTACAACTATACAAATGAAATTACCTACGAAACTATTTATTACCCTCACAAATAGTTTTTTGATATTAAGATAACTTTTTTAACTATTACTATCTATCGTTTTCTGCATTTCTACTGGTTGGTGTGATGAATACGTTATGTACTGCGTTACGAGATAGGTATTCTTTTATTTATCGTTTTTCTACTATTAACTAAATACTTATTTTCTCTTACGAATTTTCGTTTTTGTCAGTTATTGCCGACGTGAGGATGTTTTTGGCTGTCGGGTATAACCTACCGTAATATTGAGGTTTATGCAAAATCGATTTGCCATCAGCGTTATCAATTTAAATGCAGATGTAGTAAAAAGATACAATCAACTAAACACTATCCAAGTAGGTACTTATTTCACCCACATACCTACCTGAAAACTGATGTAATACCTACCTTATTGAGTTACATGTTGGATGCCTATGAATATTTTTAGTCAATTATGGTCTATAATTTCAAAATCAATTGCAATACATTGACAATTTGTAGTGCTCGGCAGATGGGTATTATAATTTATTTTGAATACAAAGAATTAACAGAGCTTATGCTTTATTCTGTTAATTCTTTGTATCTAGGAGACATAAATAGGCACCATTCCCAGATGCAGTAAAGTAAAAAGGCAGATATATATTATTTTGTTTACTAAATTTATTTTAGTTCTTACATGGTTTTGCAATGCTTGCATTATATAAAATTAATGTGATATTTTTTATAAATTATGCTACTGTCAAAGTAGCTGAATAATTTAGATTGACTTAAGCTTAAATATATAAAACTTGAAAAATCATAATTCTTTAACATTCATAACAACATTAATCTCTTATCATCATACTCAATCATTTAATCCTTGGTCTGGATGTATTTGATGAGATCAATCACACGGTTGGAGTAACCATACTCATTATCGTACCAGCTGATGAGCTTGACGAAATTATCATTCAGAGAGATACCAGCGGCAGCATCGAAGATAGATGAGTGTGTGTCGCCAATGAAGTCAGAAGATACGACCTGTTCCTCGGTGTAGTCGAGGATACCCTTCAAAGGACCCTGAGCGGCTTCCTTGACCTTTTGTTTGATAGCATCGTAGCTAGCTGCCTTACCCAGGCGGACTGTCAGATCTACTACAGAAACGTTCGCGACTGGAACTCGGAAAGCCATACCAGTCAGCTTTCCATTCAAAGCCGGAATTACTTTGCCTACGGCTTTAGCGGCTCCAGTGGAGGCAGGAATGATATTCTGTTGAGCACCACGACCATCACGCCACAGTTTTCCAGAGGGTCCATCAACTGTTTTCTGGGTAGCAGTGGTTGCATGCACTGTGGTCATCAGACCCTCAACAATTTCGAAGTTGTCATGAATAACCTTAGCGAGGGGAGCAAGGCAGTTGGTGGTGCAAGATGCGTTAGAAATAACCTTGAAAGAAGGATCGTAGGCATCAAGGTTAACTCCAACTACGAACATGGGAGCGTCGGCACTTGGGGCAGAAATGATGACCTTCTTGGCTCCACCCTCCAAGTGGGCGGATGCCTTTTCGGTTGTTGTGAACACACCAGTAGATTCCACGACGTATTCAGCGCCAGCCTTACCCCATGGAATGGCTTTAGGGTCTCTCTCACTGAAGACAGAGATTTTGTTTCCATTGACGACGAGGAATTCACCCTCAACGGCAACGGTGCCCTTGAAACGGCCGTGAGTGGAGTCATATTTAAAGAGGTATACCATATAGTCAAGGCCGATAAAAGGATCGTTGATGGCCACGACCTGAGCACCCTTTTCAATGGCAGCTCGGAGAACGAGACGGCCAATGCGGCCAAAACCGTTGATTCCGATCTTGGACATTTCTGCAACAAAATAAAAACATCGAATTTAATTATCTTTTATGAGTATACATGTCATATAGTACATATGAATGGTAACTAAGTAAAATATAATAAACTAACAAATGTTGGCAAGTTAAAAATAATGTAGTACTCGTCTATCTGTACCTATTGAAAGATAATAAATTGAAAGAGCCCGCCGCTCTGTAAATCATCATAGCTGATAACGTGATAACCGTATGACAAGTTTGTTATAGTTAACAACATGTCACAAATGAAAATTAGTATAGAAATTATTAGAACCCTACAGGACGGGTACAAAAATATTTATTACAATTGCATTGTAAATTATTCTTAACCCTTCGATAGCGATGAATTTTAAAACATATATTTAATGAAAAAATGATCAATCATAAAATTATTTTATTAATTATTTAGTTTTTCTGAAATTTACATATTCAAATAGTAGTTTTCAAACTGTATCTATTAAATAGCGACTGGTCAAAAATACGCTCTCTACGGCCCATATAATATTGAGTCGGTGACTCATTATCCTAAAGTCAAAACAGGTTACATGAAGTTTTAGTCTAGTTTACTATGAAAGACTGTCACGCTTGTTGTTATTTAGAGCCATCAATTAGTAGTCAGGACTTTCTTTTACTAATTAGTATACAAATATAAATGCAAGTAAAGAAAGTTGTAGACTGTAGTGCCGTTTAAGTAGGAAATAATTAATGAAAATTATAAATAAGTGGCTTTTAATGACAAAAATGAACGACATCGTCTAATTAGAATTAGACTGGTAACATGTCTGGATACACGTAGTTCAGTTACTGAAATATAAATGGCAAAAACAAGAAGTCAGTAACATTATAATACTGCTCCGTTTTCACTATGCTTGTTGTTTGCAAAGAAAACAAAAAAATAACATAAACCCTTACAAATAGTAACGTTACAAAAATTATGGCTACAGACCGGCCGGTACGGAGGTCACGTAGAGGTCACCAATAAAATCCATGAAATATGAAGAGGTCGGATAGCGAATACTTTAAAAATGTTTAACAATGATCTTGCGGTTATGGTACAACAAAAATCACAATCATTTTAACGTTATAAATAAGAACATGTTATAACACTCGGCAAATGAAACACCGCTACGTGGAATCAAAGTAATAAACATAATATCGTTTTGTTAATTCTATATACCACTTGAAACAATACAATGTATATGTAAATAACAGGAAATTGCTAATGAATACTTACTGGAATAAATTGATTAATATGCAATTAAATATATGATACCACGCACGTACACTCACAACGAGATGTACTTTTAAAATGTCAGCTGAAGGACAAATCTGTGAGAGAGCGACCGTGTAGGCGTGTATTAATAGACAATTTCTGGTAGATCAATGAACCACAGATTAATGAATAAAGCAGATAAGACAAAATTACTCTGTTTTTGCCTATGATGATGTACAGGTCGAATCAATCGTATCAAATTAAACGATCTCAAATAGAGATACAAAACCCTTAGCTTACTATTTCTTTTTTCTTAAGTGTGTTGCTATTCTGTAGCTACATGATTTCTCCAGTACTATTAATATTGTAATATTCAGATGTATGGGTATTAATGTAATGGTAACACTGTTATTAGTTATCACCTTTTTTTTAGTTTAATAGTTTAATTATTTATTGGATTAATTAAGACTCAGAGATGTTAGTAACAATTTGAACTTACAGCTATATTAGTATGCTTTATAAATTAAGGTTAGACTCATTGCCTCGTAGGAACAGGAGCAGCTGAAACCCCGATGCAATGAGTCATATACAGACAATCTAGTCTACTCGCAATCATCATCAGTATGCTGTTTACCCCTTAAGAGTAGACCTTCATAGAAGGCACCCGGTATGAAAAAAATATAAAGAGAAAATTTAGTGATCAAATGAACTCGTTACAACAACAAAAATCTTCTTTAACCAAGAAGTAGTTTTAGTATTTTACATTGCAAAATTTAATTTACCATAAATTCAAACAAGTAAACATGCATGTATTTAAGTTTTTGATCATTCATAGAAAAAACATATTTTGATGAGTAGTGGAATGTATCGAAATTTTGTGATTTATATCCTATTTTCAAAATGTTGCCGGCTGCTAGGCGGTCAACGTGACCAGATACTCTAGATCTCCTACAAATTACCAATTAAGCCAAACATTTGTCAACTTAGATAGTAAGTATTGTGTAATTTGTGAAGATAAATAAAAATATATAATTATTTTATTTTTTACATGCCTGTCTTTTACGAACTGTTAAACGTTTTTAATGACAGCTGATACTTCATTTATGATACTCATTCCCAACATTTTGCTTAATACCTACGTGAACATCTCAGTAAATTATTCTATGGCAAGTTCTATTGTCTATGATCTTCTGTGATTATATTCACAGAGTAGTTACATTGTATCATACTGGTTTTATTTTAGAGTGGTATTTTTATTACTCATTTAATTTTTAAAAGTATATTCTTGATTTTACATAGTCAAAAAGCCTTGTGTTAATTTTATCAAATTCATACAACGTAAACAGTACTTTACCTCGATTGAATTCATTTATTTATTCTGTGTTAAGATTTTAATAAAAAAAAACTCTATGCTCTCCAGACATAAACAGATTTATTGAGGCGGGTAATTCAAAATGTCACATTTATAATGAAATTATTTTTACCTCCAATGTTTGTTAACAAAATCTATAAGGTTAAAATCAATAATGGTTATAAGGGTGGGAATTAATGGTTTTGGCCGGATCGGCAGAATAACGTTCAGAACTTGTTTACAAAATTCTGAAATACAGGTGTGTGAATAATATTGTAATCTTCGTTTTAGTATTATGAAATTAGGTTATTTTTATTAGACTTGAGTTATGTTACTTCTGCATTTAATTTTTTTAGTTAACTGCCATCAATGACCCGGCTATTGAAATTGACTACATTTGTTATTTGATAAAGTTCGATTCCACCCATGGCAAACTCAGAGGAAATATTACACACACAGACGATGAAATCATTATTGATGGTAAGAATTTATAATTAATAAAGTAAACTAATGTGTATAAGACCTATGACATAAAAGTAATGGTGTACAGCAGGTTTAGGACCTTAACTACTTCTAAGTTTTTTCTATGGGATAGAAGAAAACTAGCAGACGGTTCATCTATAAATGTAAGCCACAAGCGACCTTGAGCCCCCCCAAGTTAAGGGCTCAGGAGAGGGGTTGGAGCAATGTAACCTTATTATGTTCCCCATTTGAAATGATTAAAGCCTTTAACCCTATTAATGTTAAAAATACAGCCGACCTATGGCAAAATTCTGTATTAGGTAATTACTAAGATAATTATATCTCTTGTGGCTAATCAATTGTCATTTACATTTAATCGATGTATGTGGTGTATTTCCTGATCTTATGAAGTCTAGTGAAATTATTCCCTTATTCAAATCTGGTAGTACATCTGACCCAACTAACTTTAGACCTATCTCAGTACAAGTGATCAATTACAAAGTTTTTTTTAATAATAATAATTTACTACACAATAGACAATTAGATTTTACAATGGGTCGCTCCACAACTGATGCCAGTGTTGAGCTAGTAAAACATATATTTGATGCCTGGGAGGATGCCCACGATTCTCTAGGTATGTTTTACGATTTATCTAAAGCGTTTGATTGTATTTCATTTGATTGTTGTTCATGAAACGCTGATCAGGAAATTACAGCACTATGGTATCAAAAATAAAGCACTGGAATTATCTGGATAATAGGATTCAGAAAGTAGATATTAATGGTGAGCGGTTTCCAGGCTCTGTGGTAAAATTTGCGTTCCACAAGGCGTTTCTATTCTTGGCCTTTTTTTGTTTTTAGTATATATTAACGACTTACCTCACCTTGTCAAGGACAATCTCGAGATTGTGTTGTTTTGCAGATGATACATCACTAGTCACATCATCACATCAACAGCCTTTAATAGTCCACTGCTCGACATAGGCCTCTCCTTAGAAAGGAGGTTTTGGCCTACTATACCACGCTGGCCAGACGGTATAGGTTGGTATAGGGTTTGTGTCAAGTTTTCCTTCTCTTTGCCGTGCTGGTTGTCCTACGTTACCTCCCTTAGTCGCCTTTTACGAAACCCACGGGATGAATAGGGGTGGTGGCACTCCGTATTCTTAATCCGCCACCACACGGCCATCACTACTATTTAGACTAAAACGGACTCTTGCTAATTTTACAGATGTAGACAGCAGGATTTCGTTAGTGGTTTGACGACAATTTGCTTTTAAATGAACGAAAATCTAAGTGTATACGTTTCATCATGCCAAACGTCAAGCCAGTGAAAACTATTGTGATGATTAAGGATGTCGAGTTCGACCTTTTGTTTTTAACGCGGGGAATGCTCTTCGCACCATACCCTCCATTGGAGAACCTTTCTACCCACTAAACCCCTCGGCAGCCTACCTCGGGAGTCGGGAGGAACTCCAGAAACGCATCGGCAGCTTATATAGGAGCCTCTCTGCCGTACCCCACGATTGAGGCACATTCCAAGATGACCATGTTCACCCTAGGGCGGGTTGCTGCCGCGCCCCTCATCGCTCTACATAGTAAGAGGCGCAAGAGCGCCCGGCCTTAGACGACACACCCCCTGCCGCACTGGAGAGTCACCTGTCTCGGGTCGTTTTGCAGTGGCCACATCACCCCAAGATGTGGTCGCAACGACTCTTAGGCAGCGACCGGGTAGCTAGCAACCTTTGCCGCGTCCCCTACGCTCCTTCCTTCGAGCGGAATCAGCTCTCTCCCGATCCTGCTCTGCGGTCTCCTTCTGGAGAATAACGACCTTGCAGAAGAAGTCCGCGGCTGCCCATCCCTCGTTACTCGCCAGCATTGCAGCGATCAATGCTGGTGGTGACAAGTTTCGTCCAATCTGTCCGACTAGGACTCGACGCTCGGACTCCCATGCAGGGCAGTCTTTCAGCGTGTGCTGGGTGGAGTCCCTGTCGGACCCACAGTGGTGGCATTGTGACGTGACCTCCCATCCGATTCGAGTCAAGTACTTATCGAAGCAACCGTTCCCGGTGAGCATCTGAGTCACTCTTACGTCTTAAGTGGAAATGTGGTGTGAGCTAGGGTGTTTTTTATTATTTTCTATTATTTATGTTTCATTTCACTTTCTCTCGTATTTGATCTTTTTTCCTAGTCTTATTTTTCTCTTTATTGTCTTTTTACCTTTTAGTCCTAAATAACGGACAGACTGTTGTGGTATATTTAATGATGCCATTGTATTTATTTGTAAATTGCAAAAAAGTGACCATGAGTTTGTTGCCCTTTCTTTTCATAAGGCTCAACCCTTAGGAAAGGGGCGGTTGTGGATCGGCACAGGCTAATCATAGATTTTGTATAAGCATAATTTTATTTATAAAAGAAACCTAACTATATAACAAAACAGAGATTGTTGCTATTGTGTGTGTTGATCTACGACTTTAGAGTCTACATAAAACACGCTTTCAAACAGTTTTTAAAATTTTATGACAAAGATATTTTAAATTTGAATTTAAATTAAACTCCACCGAGTTTAATAACATAAACAAGCAACGATAGAAATACTTCCGGTCGGGTCACCTGTTTGTGCCGAAGCAGGGCTTAGCCATGGTTGTTCCAAAATAAGGGTTTTAAACTTGTATATAATATATCTTTAAGTAAAATTTCACATTGCTGCACTATTGCGGAATATACACATACGGAACAACTCCTTCTATGCATGCGGAATTTACCTTTAAGTAATTGTTACACTTTTACTGTTTTCTCTTTACGTGATTTTTAATGTGAATAATACTTCTGTAAACAATTGTTGGTAAACCAATAAAATTATATAAAAAATAATCTGAGTTCAATCACATGATATGACCTATCTAATATCACGATACGTGCGCTTGGCAAACCATTAGATATATTACAGTACCTAATAAGTTTAGTATAGAAAATAAAGATATCTAGTATTAATACTACCATATGTGTAATTACGCATATACTGCCCTATAAAAGTGTGAAGGTAACCATCGGATAACAACTTATGATAGACAATGAACAGGTTCTTTCAGTATCAAGCATTTTATTTTGGTTTAAAAATATAATACCGCAACTTTTTTTAATTAGGTCTGCCTTGTGACTTTCAGTAACGTGTTTTTATTTTTAATAAGATAAATTTATCTCGTTACTTAGTATGTTTACTTTATTTTATAATTTGGTTTGGTTAACAAGAAAACGCCTTCTTTTTATCGCTTTGAATGGGGCTATAAAGGTCAGGAGATAATACTTTATAGTTACGTATTTTAATTAGTAGTGGGCTTGGTATTAGGTACCTACCATAAAAATTTGTATTTTTTTACATTTTTTTATAACAAAATAGATACCTCCTCAATCTCATTATCTTCGCACTCAATCAATTACCCGATTGGAATAAAGAGCACAGAACAAGTTCTCGATAAACATTATAAAAGTTGTCCACGTATAATAATAATATTTTTGGACATATAACCCACAGCGCTATCTAGTTTCAAATTAAGCAGAGCCTGTACTACGAAAGCTAGATTAACTGATAGAATACTCTTACACTTTTTTTTTACAAATACATACATATTATACATATAAAACACCCAAACTCCGAAACAAATATTTGAAAATCATACAAACATTTGGTCTGACCCGGGCAACGAACTCGAGGCCTCAGCACAGTAGTCGCATACGCCGCCTCTGCACCACCGAGGCAGTCAAGTATGCGTGCAATAGTTAAAGTAGATACTTAAAAACTGCTGCCAAGTTTCAAAGCTTCGATGCGCACAGGGGACAAACTTACCACACTTTGCAGTCAAAGATACAGCAAGCATACACCTCAGCTTAGCAAAAAACAATCTTCAGCTTATGCTAGCAGCAGGCGGATAGCAGTTGTGATTGGTTGATCCAAGAGAGTTTAAATCTATTATTCTAGTTTATAGTTTAAAAATACTTTTGTAATATAATAAATGGTTCCTAGGTCATAAAATCAAAGTGTTTCAAGAAAAGTTTCCACCAGACGTACCGTGGCACAGAGCTGGCGTGCAATATGTCATCGAAGCTTCTGGAATGTTCACCTGTTTGGATAAAGCATCGGTATGTTCTTCATACTTACGTTACGCTATCACAACTATAAAATTAATTACTCAAAATTTTGATTAGTCGGATATCAATCACATTTATTATCTACAGCGCGGAAGCAACTCCAACAGTTTTCATGAAATTAGGCATACCTACATAATTATTTATTATCTCATGATTCTAAGCTTATAATCTGTCATAACGTTAAGATTTGAAAAGCTATGAACTAACATTTGACGTTACAATTTCTACAGAACGTATTATTTACTTCTTAATTATTATTATTACATTAGAAATCTATTACATATTTATCTATGGGCAAACTTACTTAGGTTTTACATATACTATTTAGGAACTTTAATAAGTTCAATCTTTATTCTTCATTTTGAATTAAATTACGCATGTTTTAGGGTCACCTAGCAAGCGAAGGCGTGAAAAGAGTGTTAGTGACCGCACCTAGTGTGGACGTTCCTATGGTTATACTGGGAGTGAATGACTACATGCTCAATACAGGTAACTGGATTCCTAAGTCTGCTGGTCCGCTGGACTGTTTAGTGACTAACTGATATTTATTTTAAATCAGCCATTCCCCGTTGAAACAATAAATCAATCAAAAACTGCATTTTTATATATTATATTGATATTGTTGCATAAGTTACAACACTACACAAATAGTGTTGTTTAACTACCATCTTCTTTAAGGTTTTGGAGTCTTCGCAGTGGACTGATTACGCATCGAACTGAAATTTCCTGTCATTTTTTGCCTATAAAAAATTGAATTACATTGCTGTCAATTAGAATGCTGAGTCAGTAGTCTTCATTTCATACATAAACTACTTCAATCGGCTAATGAGAAACAATGAACACATTAGGTAGCTACATATACATACGTAATACTCTGATTAAACGTCGTCGTCACGTCACGTCAAAAGTCCCTGTCTAATTATTATTATTATCATATTAGTATTAACACCATGATAAAGTCACAATGAAAAACTTTATAAATAAAAATTGGTGTTGGTCTGCTTCAGCATTTTTTTTTTGGAAATTCATTATTTCGGCTTAGGTATAACAGACGTGCACTCCATAATCGATTCCGCATTTGGCCCAGCGTACTTGTACAGAATACTCGACTTCAATGCAACGAAAGAATTGCTTAACACCGGTTTCTAGTCGGCTAGATGAAGATGCAAGAAAAATAACACATTTTTCTTTTCAGATCATAAAGTAATATCATGTACATCAAGTACTCTGTATTGCTTGGCGCCTATAATCAAAGTGTTGAATGATAATTTCGGTGTAGTTGAAGGTTTTATAACCAGTATCCACGCTATGACACCCTCACTCAAGCCTTTGGACGGCCTTTGTTTGCGAGGAAAGGTAATAATTGTGACAAACGAAAAAAGATAATGGTTTTTTAACTGACTTAAAAATCTAGATATATTTGCCTATAATTTCGGCATTTTAACACTGATTCTTTTTTGTTTTTGAATTGTCATTTCCAACTTATCATTAATTAAGCACATTGAGGTTAGTCCTACTTTGATGACAATAAAGCATCATCATTATCCTCCGAGCCTTTCCCCAAATTAGGTTGAGATCGGCTTTCAGTCTGTCGCTCTAAGCAACAATTTTTTTACGTAGAACGACTGCCATCAGACCTCTGAGTATAATCCTTTAATCTTCTGAGTATAGTAATTATTAAAATATTTTTTCATTGGGGATTGCATTGTTTATTTATAGCATTGGAGAGATCATAGAAGTATCAATCAAAACATAATCCCGGCAACTACGGGTGCTTGCAAAGCTCTCGGCAAAATCTTACCACAGGTCAAGGACAGGATGACTGGTCTAGCCTTCAGAGTGCCCATAGTAAACGTTTCCGTGCTAGACATCACTATAAAGTAGGCCAAGTTCTTTTCTATTTATGTCAACTCTTAGTTTTTATGACGATATCTATATTAGGGTATTGAGCCTGACAAAGACGTGGGCCACTATTGAAGTTTTTGAAATCCGTCACATAAAAATCGAAGTTCGCCAGTTCATTATTCTCTAATTAGAATTGCTATAATCTTCTCAATTAGTAATAAGTTTTGTGGTGTATAATAATTTATAGTAGAGTGAAACTTTTTTGACTAACACGTGTGGTACACATATTTATGGTCAAACCGCCATAAGCTTGGCCCTCGCGATGGTTTGCGGGACGCGGGAGTTAGTGCGTCGGTGTCCACCGGCAGTGACTGACGTGAAAGCATGGCTGTACGTGTTATTTTTCTTAAGACTATTTGTTTGTTTGTTGACTAACACGCGGTATGATTTTGCAACATGGATAATCTGCCGACTCTGCGTCACAAGAAGATTTGGATTAATGTTTATTTTTTTAATAAACTATTCCTTTTGTTTTTTATTTTAAATTACTTGATTAATATACAGCAGAAGTTGTCGATTGTCCGTGTTGTGACAGATTAAGAATACGGAGTATCACCGCTCCTATTCATCTCGTGGGTGTCGTAAGAGCCGACTAAGGAAGTAATTTACGCAGAACAACAGCACTGCAAAAAGAAGAACTTGAAACAAAACCTATACCAACCCTATAAATTAAGCCTACGAATAAGTACTCTGTTAACAATATTCAAAAACGAATCAAACACCATGAACGAAATTGAAAATGGTCAAAGAAAGAATCTAAACCTTTACAAGTCAAATATTTCCTAACAAAATCCGCCTAAGTCGAATACCTCCGTAAGTCTAACACTCTATCGTCTCCCTTGAAGTTCGGCTTACAGAGGTTCTACTATTAAAGTTATAATAAAAAATATTAATTATTTTACTATATTTTAAACTGTATTTGAATATACTGCTTTTATTGTGCTTTTATTAAAATTATTTTACAAGTATTAAAGTTTTACAATTAATCAACACATGTAAATAAATTCGATTTTTATTACATCGTGTGTAGATTAAATCTCAAAGAAATAAATTTAAAGATATCGAGTTAGTACATCGTGTCGTGTATAGCCTAGCGCATTACCTACCCGCGTCCGCAACCCATCGGGAGGGCTAAGCTTACGGCGGTTTGACTATAGGGTCGATTGATATGAATTCAAATTCGTCTTATTAATATTTGACCAATGATTTCAGATCTTCATATTAATTATATATGTAGTAAAATATTTTTTTAATACACAGGCTAGACACGAACACATCTAAAGAAAATATCATTAAATCCGTAGAGAAAGCAAGCAGGAGAGAACTCAAAAATATCATAAAAATATCCAACGAAGATGCAGTATCTTCAGACTTTATTGGCGACAGTCACTCTTGTATTTTAGATGTCGAATCAAGTTTGCAACTCCGTCCAGATTTTTATAAACTCATTTGTTGGTATGAAAACGAGTTCTCCTACGCATGTAGAGTGGTTGATGCAATTTTTTACTCCGAAATGCAATTCGCACAATCACATATAAGCAATACAATGTGCGTTCATGCCAAATTGCCGACACAAATTATTACACCATCACAAAATAATAAAAAGGTAACTTTAAAATGTAACTATGTTACTCCACCTAATGATGAAGTATTCTATATCAATTCAAATGAAAGTATTAAATCAAAGGCAGCTCCCAAGCCTCGACCCCTTCTCGCTCGAAAACCACTATCTTCACAAAGCTCTTCGGCAGCAACCACACTCATAAACCGTGACACAAAAGGAAAAAATGAAATATTCAAAGTATGGAATGATGATTACGATTCACTTAAAAATCCTGTAAGACAAAACAGGACTTCATTCTTTCAAAGTTGCATTACATTTGGTCCCAAACATCCTGTAGAACAAACTGACTGTATGAAAGTTCAAGAGCGTTTGGAGGACGTTAAAAGAGAATTTTCGAAAATGCTGATTATAACTGAAGATTTGCTTAGAAAATCTTATACTAGCAAAAACAAATTACAGTATCTAAGGAGCAAGGAAATGACAAATGGTGACCCAAAAGCTGAACTGAAGGTAGAATCTTTTCAGGAAACTCACAAAATTAAAAACAATCATAACACAAATGCAGAATTAAGTAATCCCATAGTAAAAGATTGCGGAGATTTCAAAAATAAGGACAAAATTATCATCAAAAACGATGAAATTAAAGACTATAATGAAACAAAAAAATTGTCATATTATGCAGAAGTTAACGACCACATTTTCTTTTATGATCAACTTAAAAAAACAAAGACATTAGAAAAGACAAGGTTACAAGAACCCCGTGAAAAGCAGCATATACTGAGAGAAAATACAAGGGTTGTGAAAAGTAACGACACTTCAAATATTATACCTGTATACACTCAACGAACTGAAAAGATAAATAAAACTGAAAATCCTGCAATAAATAACAATGACATTAATCCACAATTAATGGTTAAAGCTATAAAATCTTTGACTTACGCGCTTACCAATAATATAGTTGAAAATGTTTTCAATGAGTTAAATGCACCTAGTCCATTAATATCTAAGATGAGCTGCGAAGACAATAGTCTTCATAACATTCATTTCAATCCAGAAAAAGACGTAACAAGCACAAAAGACCTAAGTGAAACTCAGAAATTGGAAGGTTACCTGCCAATCAATAAAGAAAAAACAGAGCGTTATTATATAAAAGACCTAACAAAGTATTTACGAAATAACACTAACGATATGCGTATAATGGATGAAGAACTTAAAAAACGTAATATTATCTTAATGAACTCTGACTCAAATGTAAACATTTTCAATATTGGCAGCGAACCTTCTGCTTCAGATGCAGATTCGGATCGCAAAAACTTAGATTTAAATAAAAAGATTTTAGCAGGCCTGAGAATGGTCGCCGAAACAGGTATAGCAGAAAGCGTATCGCCGTGTGGAAGCCCAGCGAATACTGTCACTACTGTCAGTAATGGTGACAGAACTCGAGTCAAAGAAGATCTTTATGATAAACTGGACAGCGCTAGTGCATCTGATTCTAATAACTCCTTTCAGATAAACGAAAGAAAATCTCAGGTCCTAAATATAACAGATTTGACAAACTCTTTAGAGGATCTGTCGCGATTAGACAAAATTTGCAGGATAATAGAAATTTCTGATGAACTATCTGACAAATTATTCTCTAGTTTGGATAATACTGAAAACTTTTTGGAACAAAAAAAGAAGTGGTCATTCAGGGATTTATGTGAAAGATTAAAATTAGATGAGTTTTGCAACAGTGTGTTTGGTAAAACCAGTTTTTAACTTGCATTAAAACAAAGTGTATTCAATATGTTATTTTATTACAGGCACTTTAATGATATATTTATCTTAATGGGACAACGGAGTATTGCTTCCATAACTGTAATAATGTTGTACACTTGTATCAAGAATATTATTTCAGGGACCAATCAGACCATTTTACAGGAAAAACAATTATATCTAATTGAGAATAAACCTACGGTTATACTTTTAATCCAAAATCGTTTGTTTTTGTTCTTTTGTACTTCAAATAATGTGCGGTTATCAATGTTAAAGAACTTGGTTTAAAAAAATTATATAAAATATTTCGTAAATCGGACAAGATGCACTTAAAACTTCTTAAAATATTCATATTTCATAAAAAATAAAGATATATTCATTTATAGATTCTTGATTCTACTATAGATTCATAAAGTAACCTATAAAATTATAAAAAAAATATGAGTAAGACCCTGATCACAACTTAAACATACTTTATAAAAAATGCTCAGGTACATTTGTGAAGACAGACACTGCCAATAAAACTTAAAACCATTATAAAGCGATTTCTCCATACAGTTATTCTTACCCGTGGTTATGATATACAGTAACGGGATTTTTCAACAGCTTCATATTAAGGTTTATAATTGTGCGCGGGAATAAAGCGTCGTTCATATCGACGAAGTCGGCGATAACAACGTTGACGGGGGCGCGGACACCGGCCGCGGAACTGCCGGGCAATGGCTGCCCCGGACTGAACTCTGATAATATCGGTAGCACTTCTTTTTGTACTGGTACGGCACACTTTTCCAAGAGACTTGATATCCATCTGAAAATATAAAGGCATGATATGTTATTATTCTGCACTTCAATATAAAATAAATGTTAAGATGTGATATTAAAAATAATTATAGAAGTATTTTATAGCTATGTATCATTATCGTTAAATTTTGTATACACATTGTTAGGGGTATAAGAATGTCCTCGAATGTACTTGGGGTACCTGAATGGATTGATCACGCTTTGAACAAAAGTCAGAGCTAGTAAGTTTATAAAGGCTGACCTGAGTACAATAAATGTAGCCGTGGGCGTAAGTACCGCTTGATGTACGAAGCCCGAGCTAGGGTGTCTCCTCACATTCTCTAGGAAATTAATGAGACCGTTGACACTGTCTTGCCGCGGCCAAGGCGACGGTAGCATCTGCGGTTGCCAGAACTCAGTTGTAGCGTAAACGGACTCATTGCGGTATACTACTATAACCTGGAATTGTTGAGTGCATTAAATTAGTGGTAGATAAATATTTTAGAAACTATGAAAACCATATTTTTAATGGAATGAAACACGAAAGTTTTTTGTGTGTATATGTTTTCAGCAGGGATCACAAAGTTCTTGATGCTGGTTTTTAATATTTTAATCATTTTAACTGGCAGTCGGAAGCTGTCTATGCGATCTAAAGGGGGGGGGGGGGGGGAGTTATTCCAATTTATATTGATTCTATGGCAAGTTCGTAGTTTTTTTTTAATTATAAGAAATAAACAACGTTCAGTTAACAACGCGGCGTCAACCCGTGGACCACCCGTCGACAACGAGTCGAGGTGGTGCTGGTCGGGGTGTCGGGTGGTTGGTTGTAATTGGTTGTAATGGGAAAGTTAATACAAAGAAGGTGAAATATTTTTTATGTCAACACCTTTTTTATATTCAATAGAGGGCAAATGGGCTGGCTTCACCTGATAGAAAGTGACTACCGCCGCCCTGCTATCTGCAACTTAAGAGACAAAAGTGCGACACCTTTTGTTTGTCCTCCCCCTACTGGAATTGGGGGAGGAGGGGGTTTGATCTCCTCCGCTAATCACTTTCCTGTGAGGTCGTGGTATTACTCAAGTCGAGGCAGTCCATATCTGTCTTCATGGTTGAGTAGTTGTCACATGAGTATTATTTAAGTGAAAAGAAATGTCCGTAACAGTCCATAATTATAGTATAAATGTGAAAGTGGGTTTGTTTGTTTGGTTGTTACGCTGCCATAAACCACTAACCAATAAAAAGCTGCATTATCAGTGAGTAACATTGCCAACATTTATTGCGATAACCGACATACACGCGGGCGGAGCCGCGGGCAAAACCAAGTGTAATATAGGTATAGTCCAGACCTGCATTTTTAGTCTATTGAGATAGTTGAGCGTAATTGCTCTAAGATCGAGTTGTCGTGGCACAAGTCTCGTGCCGTAGAGATTCAGTAAGTACCGCATCAGCATTTGGTGGTGTCGTGGAGTGAACGCGTAGAAATGCTGGCAGTCTAAGATTACTACCTGAAAAGAAAGACATTTCTTATTTGCAAAAATATATATCCCGCGTGTAGAATCAGCAGAGATTCTGCCGATGTAAAAAAATATATTGTACATGTGGTACCCGCGTTCTGGTGTGATGTCAGACTATATTTCACAATTCTGCAGAACCGAATAAATAAAAACTGAAGTTCCAAAAGTATTATGTTAATGAAATAAAAAAAATCTGATGGTGGAAATTGCTTTTCTTTATTTACGACTGATACATCAGACTGCGTTTTCGTTTCACCTTACAGCTACCGTCATAAAATATGATTTCTTCGTTTTTGGTTAAACTTTTAGTGACATACCTATTTGTAACGGGTAAGCAATTTATACAACTGTATCAGCAGCATAACAGCCACAATTTTTATTTTATAACTAGCTGCCCGCGACTTCGCTCGCTTGGAATTTGGAAAGTGCATCAGTGTATTCGATTACCGCCCTTTTTAAATTTTATAAAGTTTTTCTGAAAGTAAAATAGCCTAAGTTACACCTTATATAGGCAGCTACCTGGTAGTACAATATTATCAAAATCGGTCAAGCCGTTATGAAGATTCATCATCATTATCAACAGCTTTTAATAGTCCACTGCTGGACATAGGCCTCTCCTTAGAAAGGAGGTTTTGGCCCACTATACCACGCTGGCCAGACGGGTTGGTATAGGGTTTGTGTCAAGTTTTCCTTCTTTTTGAGGTGCTGGTGTCCTTTTTTTTTTCTTTCCGTGCGGAAATCCCCTCGGATACCAAGGTGCTGGTGTCCTGCGTTGTTTTGCGCCCTTATTCAGCTCTTACGACACCCACGGGATGCATTGGGGTTGTCACATTCCGTATTCTTAATCCGTCACTAACGGACTATTTTATGTGCAGATTACCCGGAACAAACAGACAGACACACAAAATTTGTTTAAAATGGTATTTAGGCATATTCATCATGCAAATAACCGTGTGAACATGAAAAAACCCTATTATTTTGACATTATATACAGACACTTTAATTTTATTTATTTGTATACTTAAAATAATTGGAATACCAAATTATATTTTCATTTTGAAAATAACGTTAACTAACCTCTCCAGGATGTTTGTCGACAAACTCCTTAACTTGAGTTAAAGCTCCTGAGATTTCTTCTCCATATAAACCATGAGTGAAGTAAAAATTGTCTGAATTTGGCATAGTAGCCAACCTCAGGTCGAGGTACCTGAAGATTTAAATATTCTTATCATATCTGTGAGCAGTCTATTCGGCTTGCAAAGCAAATATGGGCAATTGTGTAGGAGCTTATATAACTCATGGTTTATGTACTTACCTATCTATAACTATGGGAAATTATAGTATTAATAGTTAAAATTGAGCAGAAAAGTAAAAGTTCCCAAAAACTAAAGGTTACTTAATATTAATATTTAAACGGTCTAGGTAACATTATGTTCAAATTTAGGACAGTATACATAATGTCTTATCAACCTAACAAAGCCTTCCTTAGGTAGCTTACTATATACAAGATCTAAGTCGCTTTTGTCTTCCTCCCAACATTTGACTCTCCCACCCATCAAAATTTCTTACAATGAATGAATCACGATTGCCCATTTCATTAAGAAAACTCTTTCGAGAGCTGACAACTTGGTAGGAATCCTATACAACCATATCAAACTTGTAACCTTACTATGACGCAGATTCAGTTATAAACAAGTTAGACAACAAAAAAAAACAAATACCATCATTATAAAAATTACGACACACATTGTAAAAAAATAATTAAAACAGAAACATTACACAGATACTATTAAATTTTAGACTCATATAAGTATTACAAAGCAGAGGTCACAAAAGTACAAAATGTCAATTAGCATTATTATAGCTAGGTAGCATCTTAGAAGTATTTAATTGTCTAGTCATCTATTAAAATCGAAAAATCTATTACCTTCTTCAAACATTTAAGATATAGACTGTAAAAGAAATAATAATAAGTGCTATCTAAGTGCTACATGAGCTATAATACACAAGCAATTCATGATAAAGTAGTGCAGATGTGCTAATGTTACATCAAATATACCTAATGCCAATAAGAAGTTGGTGCCAAGTGTCACTGGCTTGCGTTATAGTCCACCGTAAGATCGTACCTCGAAATAATGGGTACAGACGGTGGAGTATTGGTTCGGCATCCGGTGCTACTTTGCTAGACCGTGTTATGCCATATGTCATTGAATCATGGCTACCTGAAACGTATTAGTCAATGTTAGAAGTAAAAAGATTTTGGCTTAAACTGGCCTAATTAGTATGTTTCAGTTCAGTCAGCAAAGAGATGTTACAATTTTGTGTCAATATGCAAAAGTTTTCAGCCATTTTGATGTGATATAAGTTATAAGCATTTAGAGTTCCTCCTTTATGTAAATATTAAATCTTATGCCAAAATACTGCTATCTTGATTCTATTGGCTAACATTTACAGTCATTTACTGACGGTACTTCTAGTGACTTGCGGACTGTTTTTTTTTTTTTATGGAAGTGGGGGCAAACAAGCAGATATTATTTGATTCTATTATAATTTTAAAGAATATTAAAACTTGAACCCATTAAAAGTATTTTTGTTTAATCTATTAGCTAAGCCTATTGCTTATGTTAGGAATAGGTCCACATTGGTAGTGCATAAGGTGGTGTTCATAAAGTTGTCCTCACTATATAAAAGAAAGCCAGCTCAAACTTTACACTACTGCATTTAACATATTAATATAGCAATGGATGGAAATTGTGAAATATTATTAATTAAATTCAAAGTTTTTCTATTTCTAGTATGCCTCTTGCTTTTATTAGGTAATAAAGGCAAGTACTGGCTGGAGCTTGAAGGTTAGTCTTTTTATTAGAACTTTATTAGAACATTAAGCTCCAATAGATTTACATGACAATAAACTTACATATTCATTTAAATAATGGCTTTTTCATAGTCAGTAAGTGTCTCTTTTTTGTAAAAGATCAACATTTATGGTCTGGACTTGCAGGACCAACCCAGCGGTATTGCTCCTGCTGATTTTTAAATTACTATTAGATTATGATAATGAAGTAACACACTAGTAATATCAACAGTTCAAGTAAATTTAATAAAGATACTATAATACAAAAATATAAGTATGTGAGATTCTTTATTCAATATAAGCTATGTTTCATAAGTGGCTATAAGAAGTGTTCTTTCAAGATTTTATGGACCCTATTCACAAATCTTTAATCATAATAAATGGAAACGAGAAGCTTAAAAAAACATTACAGCATATAACAAACAATGTTGATTACTCTGAAGGATAAAAGTTTATGGACATTTTTTCCAATAAGGTTTTAAAGCTTTTAAATAATTGAAAATGTAAGAGGAGGCTACAAAAACGGATTCTAGTTGGAAATCAAGACATTGATTTATATTTATACTGCTTATCATCAGACAGGCTTTTGCTTATTTGTCAACTTTGTATTAAAAAAGGTGCCAAAATATTTGCATGAACAAAGTACATAATAAGACATAGTTATATATAATTGCACATAGATAGGTTTTAAACGTAAGTCAATATTAAACAAGAAACAAAGCATGTTGTACCATTATAGTGAAATATACAAATTTATTTAATTAAATTTATGTACATACCTGGAATGGCAAGATAAATCAATGGCACATCTTTTAATTGCGGTGGTAGATCGTTCATCCATGATTCTAAATTAAAATTTTGAGCAGATATGTCGTCACTCATTATAAAGGCTAGAAAAACAAGAAATTGTAAGTACTTAGTAACTTTGAGGTACACGAATGGAAACAAACAAAGAACTCTCTCTCTACCTACCTAAAACAAGAAAGTGTTTCAGTTGTTATAACATATAATTATACCTACATTACAAAAAGGTCACGTTTCATTAGCTACTACTACTAGTACATTATATTTATGCATGTTAGTTAAGTAGTACTTTTAAACATGTAATCGAAGAATTTGAATATACAGTTTAGAAAGATTTTAAGTCATAAAACTTTAGAATTCTATTCATATGACATCTCATTCTCTGTTTATATTTTCAGTAGACCATTATTATACGATGTATTGTAGATAGTAATAAAGATTTGAGACACAACTGTTTTCAATCATACTTTTTAAATTATTGGATTAATATGTCAAATGTCAACCAAATAAGACCAAATGTCATATGTTACGTTTAGAATGTGCTCGTACTTGACTGTACAGAAAATGGAGTTGATCCGTTACGTTGTGAAATGTAAGCGCTTGTGTGAATTGTAAACTCAATGCTTTCTTTATGTATTTTTTGTACTGATGCAGGAATGTTCATTATTAAGCTGTCTTTCTGATAAGTACTTTCCACGAGCAGAAAATGTTAAACAATCATTTCAAAGCAATCGAATCTCAACCCGTGAAATATTTATTCATAAGTAATTTCAGTGGCTGTTTGTGGTTGTCGTTTTCATCAGATTTTATCCTGATTACAGTGAGACCAACAAATAGATTCTAATATTTGAACACTTACACAGCAATTAAGTACACAGAAAAATGAAAAGTCTATCAAAATAATGAGATAAAAGAATGGGTGTTTGGGTTGGGTGTGAATCGGTGTGATACCTAAGAAGAAATTATATTTTAAATACTAGCAATTTAGATAATCATCAGCACGACAGAGTTTTGTTTTTAAGACTTCTTTATATTCTTTTTTAAGCAAAATGTGTTATTTGGCTTAGGAGCTTAAAGTTTAAATGTAGATGCTAAATTATCATTACAGGGAATCTTTATAAACTGACATTTCAAGTTGTGTTAATCATAAAAAAAAACAAAACTTTAAATTATGATCAAAATAGTTAACCAGGCGAGTTCAATTAAACCAATCAATTAATCGGTCTATTGCAATTCTACTCAGAACATAGGCCTCTCCAAATCTCAAATGTATTCCGGCTACCTTTTTAGGTCATCAGCCTACAACTAACAATTATCTGAGTATCACTTGAAAGTCTGACACTGACTCGGAGATCGCGTCATTCGCTGGTAAAGGGTTACAGAAGGTCCCGAACGCAGTCGGATATACTTGAAATAAACACATGAGTTATATGACTTCATCAATAAGTAGGTATATCTACTTGCTTATTATTGTACAAGGAAACTAAACTAAGACTAGTAGTCTGAGCATACCTATATCAATTATATTTAAAAACTAAGGTCATAATTTACGGTTGGTTAGGCTTGGTTTGTCTTTTAATTTATTAATAAATTAATTGTGTTTTTTTTTCAATAAGCTTTCATAGACCCTAGATATCACATAGCACCAAATTGGACAAAACAAACATGAACCAAGAACTCTTTTGAACTAACCTTTTATCTGTTTCCCGAATTCACAAACTTCAGGAAATAGTTGTGAGCCCTAAGAATATTTAAGGTTCATATTTTACAAGCTTTTATTTCACTTCTGTTTACACATACCATTATCTAATCATGTTTAAAGTCCTTTGGCCTAACACCAAAAATAAATATAAAACAGTAATCGAAACTCTATTTATTTTTATTAACAAATATCATTCATTCAAACTACCCTAAGCAGGTACTCAGACAAGTAAGTATATTTTTTAAACCTTATTTTCAACAAAGGTATCCTTAACCTTATTTAAACGCCAACCACGTATTAGTGCCATGCGATGCTTATACTAAACGTTTTTAATAAGGTGTTTATATTTTTTGTACCAAGTATATTATTCTATCGCAAGATTCTTATACAACACGAATTAATGAAATTGATAGGTACATACCCAAAATAAATAGTGAACTCAATCCAAGCTTCATAATATATTTATCTCTGTATCTGAATTATAATGGCACAGTGATGGTTATCGAGCAAATCGCCGGTAAAACAACTTGTAAAATCGACAAAAAACAACAGTACGTAATAACAAAACAACCGTTAGGATTTTCGAACAAAAATTTGGCGCTTGATTCGCTTTGGACATGTAGATGTAGACCAATGCGAGATTATACTAAACTCAACACAACATGCCATGCACTTCAATGAGAAATAAACACGTTAATAAATGCAAAAAGTAGGTAATATTGTAGTTGTTATAAAGAGCGGTGTCCAAATTGCTTTGTCTGTTCACGTGCCTCGAGTTGCGACGATGTCCACTACTTAGATTTGGTGAAAGGACTGTTAATTTTTTTATCTTTGGTGCTCTAATTTAAGCTTAACCTTGATTTGGTGGGTTTGCCTTAGCTTGGCTACATAAGGAAAAACTGTAGGTACAACTATGCTTATAAATAACAAAACGTACTTTTTGAGATAACATTGTTTCCTTTGCTTGATATTATGTTATTTAAGCCTCAGCGTTTGGCGGTGACAGAACATTCATTCAATGGTTGAAACTTGATTTTTTAGAATATATTTACCAGAGTAAATATGATCACATTATAAGTTCTATTTAGTATGTCTATACTATAATATATACACGTCAAACTAAGTGTAGTTCTTCAGTTATTTGGGTCTCTAAATTTTACGTCTTTTACAATTAATACAGTTCGCTAAAGTAATAATAGTAAAAATGAAAACTAAATTGTATATTAGATAAAAGTTATACAGATTTTTTATTTTACACTATTGTCTTAGGGTAAAAAAAACAGGGATATTCCCATGTCAGACTGCTGTGTCAGTCCTCAAGTCTCGTTTGAGTCATGATACAACCGTCACTGTCTGAGATAGCTCAACAACAAGTCTGGCTGTCACCATCGCACCTGTGTTGGTCGCAGTCGAAGCAGGTTTCAGTAGGCTCATTTATTGCTACAGGTGTTCAGCGTATCAATGCAGAACGATATTAACTTTATCATCCTTTAATAGTCCACTGCTGGACATAGGTGTTTAGTTAGAAAGGAAGTTTTGGCCTACTATACCACGCTGGCCAGACGGGTTGGTCAAGGGCTTGTGTCAAGTTTTCCTTCTCTTTGCAGTGCGGTTGTCCTGCGTAGTTTGCTCCCTTAGTCGGCTCTTACGACACCCACGGGATGAATAGGGGTGGTGACAATCCGTATTCTTCATCCGTCACCACATGGACATAATAATATTAACACTAACTTAGTATATGCAGCTACAGTTAATTATATCTGCTTACTAACGGATTGGATTTGCCAATATGACTTTTAGAGTTTCTACAATAAATGGAACATGTATCAGAGGAGTCCTGTTATGGCGTCACGATATACATACAATACAACGCAACGTGTAGACAGTACCTTTGAAACAATATGGGGAGGATTTATCACTTATTCCAGTGTCAATGATGTACTCGTACGTCGTCGGGTATAAGTCCATTAGTCACCCTTTACTACGCCACAGGCAGTAATCGGGCTGGAGCGATGCCTTGTCGGAACTATAAGGAATAAAGTCATTCAGTTTGTTGTGAGTTATACTATACTATACAATAACTAGTTAAGTAGGTTACGGGGGCCAGGGACTTAGTAGTGTGGACGTATTAAAGAGACAGAAATTCCAGTAGCTAGTGACCTCCTCTACACAAAGTATTGACAGTTATACTTCTCTGAGAGAAAACTGGTCGTGAAAACTGGTTCTAACATACATTATCAAGTGTAAACAAGTACTTACATAAGGTACCTAATAAGGCATGAAACACGCTTTTCCTAGTTTATTGCTTGAGGCGCAGAAAACTTGGCAAAGCTTTGATCCCTGTCTGAGATATACATGTAGTAATGTTTCAATCGTGGTTCGGTTACAGGATCTAGGCACCTACTGTACCTAATTAATTTAATATATTATCAGAAAACATTTTCATCGCATTCCTGTAGGTATCACGTAAGTTAACTAAGCTAGTTCCATAAAACTATGTTGATCCTAACACCAATATCGAAATTTGCCTAAACAGTACATAAAACTACCTCATGACGTCTAACGTGACGACGTGAATAACCTCTTTGGAGTAATTGTCGGTAAATTATGATAAATTGCAAACATAAAGACATGAGACTACCTGCTCTTCTTGATATAAAGTTTATGCACCTATATTATCCTTAATTGAACGTTTTCCTACGCAGGTCAGTACAGTACAGTATGAGGCTGTGATAGGCGGGCCTCCGCCGCCCGGTTCGCCGGCGGCGGATCGGGTCCGAGTGGAGGTCGTCCTCCCGGGCCCTCTCCGCCGCCTCCTTCCGCGAGATTACTACCTCGCAGAAGGTTGCGACCGCGGTAAAACAACTGTCGCTACCGGCCATGGAGCGTACTAAGACCGGTAGCGAGAGATCCACTCCGATGACTGCAGTGAGGGCCCGGCGCTGCGCCGCCCATGCGGGGCAGACCGCCAGCGTGTGCTGGGCCGAGTCCTCACTGCAGTCGCAGTGGTGGCAGGCGGGACTCAGTTCCCTCCTAGCGACCGAGTGCAGGTACTTTCCGAAGCAACCGTGCCCGGAAAGCACCTGCGTCAGCCGGAAGGAAAGGGTCCCGTGCTGCCGCCCTGCCCACTCGGCGATGACCGGCTAGAGAGCCTCCACGGCGGCGAAGCCAGCGCGTGGAGTCTCCAGCCGGAAACGACCAACGAGCCATCGTGGCTCGGCGAGCGGCTTCGCGCCACTCGCGCACATCCTCGGGAGAAGGGCGAAATCCGCTCTCCGCCCGGGAGTCAGCCACTCGCCGATAAACTTCGGCGAGCATTTCCGCCTCCAAATCCCACGGGGGAGTTCCGGCCAACGCGCACACCACCTCCGTCGAAACGGTAACCGTGTATGGCTCTGACCGCCATTACCCTCTGAGGGCGCCAGAGGCGTGCCCTATTCTGGGCGGTCAGAGCCGCCGCCCACACCGGTGCACCGTACAGTGCCATTGACCGGACAACCCCCGTGTACAGCCGTCTTGTCGCGACGCTGGGTCCACCCATATTGGGCAAAAGTCGCCCTAGGGCAGACGCAGCGCCGACCAGCTTTGGAGCAAGCTGTCGGAAGTGCTCGTCGAAGAGCCACCTCCCGTCGAGGATCAGGCCCAGATATTTCATCTGGGCCCGAACCGGTACGAGGACCGAGTTGACCACGATTGAGGCGCCAGGGGGTGGACCACGACGGGGCCCATGAAATAACAGGGCCTCCGTCTTATCTAGGGCCACCCGTAAGCCCAGCGCCTCAATGCGCCCGACCACCAGGGAGACTCCCCCTGTGGCCTGGCGCGCCGCCTCTTGGAAGTTTGCCCCCCGGGCTGTCACCAGGGTATCGTCTGTGTAACGGATTACACCCAGCCCGGGGGGGGAAATTATTTATGTACCAAACGCAACCTATAAACCCTCAACTAGAAAGCAGCCAAATGACACCAGAAAATGGCACTAGAAAATGAAAAAAAAAAAACGTTTTTAATGTTGATTGACCGACTTTGACTTTTAAAACATTTCGTTGGTTTTTTTTTTAAATATAAATTTAATAAGAGAGTATTAAAATTATCTTTTTAGTTTTTATTAGTTATATGTTCTTTATTTGATAGTAGGTAGGTATGAATACTACTAATATTACTAGTATTGCAGTTAATTTGTTTCGTTTCGTGTAAAGGTTATGACCTGCAAACAGTACACACAAGGACGCTCTGATTGCTTAGTAGTTATTAACAAATACCTTGTTTAGTTTACCAAAACAGTAATTGAAATAGATTAATCTTAGCATAAGGCATGCACTACCTTTGTGTGTACAATAATTATGCGTGTGACTTTAGAGAGGTTAATCGCTTGATCCATTTTTGTAAACTTGTAACTTGAGTGTCCATGACCATTTTTATTTAATTTAATTTAAAATACTGTGCCAACTTAATAAATATAATAAAAACCTACACGAGCATTTTTAACACATTAAGAAAAATATGGTTTGGTCACGTTCGGGTTAAAATATAATTTTTAAAAGAAATTTAGACTTAAAACAGTTATGAAAATTTGATTCATAGTAAATAACAGCATGTAGTACAAAATACACAGTTTTAAATATAGAGAATAACAATACATAGCTGTTATTTTATTTTTGACCTCACTTGTTTCCTCACTGACATGTTTCCTCTAGAATGCCATCAATCGACTTCTTTAAAAAGTTTTTTGTTATGAACTGCGACTTCAGTTCTACACCAAGTACAGCTTTTACTTTCACCGAGGAAAAGTGCCTTGATGAAAATTGGGCTTTGAATATCGTGGTTGACAACTTCACACTCGCAAGCGGCGTTAGACATTAGGAAAAAATGCATTTCAAATTGTTTTCTATAGCCTTTATTATGGGTATTGTTCAGAAGAATAAATCCAGGATGAATATAAAATTATTACGATTCAGAATCTTTAATAAATTACCTGACAGTATTAAAACTTACACTTGAGCCAATTAAAGAAAGAACTACATAAATTGCTTATCAATAAATGCTACTATAATATTAACAACTTTTTAAATGACAGATTATTGTAATTTTCAATTAATTCAATTTTTGCTTATGAAATATACTAATCTACAATATAAGAATCTGATATTAATGATATTGACAATAATAATAACATTTTTTTTTAAATATTGTGAAATGTAGTATGATGTTTTTATATTTATTTCTTATCTATTAATTTATTAAAATAATTCGAGGATTGACATTTAAATAATTAATTTACTTTTCATAATTTATTTGTAAAGACCAAATGCAAAGTAATTAATGAATTAATAATAAGTAAATAATTGACCTGTATTACTATAACTCTAAGAAGGACATTGCATTAATTTAATATCCTAAATTATTTTTATTTAACTTTATAATGTTTCAGTGTCAATCTTGATTCTGATTTTGATAA